TCTCATATGCAAAACACATGGATGCGATCGAACCAACTGTGGACCAGCCTCGACTCGACCGGATTCAGGCGAAATTTTACGGGAACCATAGATGACGAGTTATGGTTTTGTTCACGGCTAGCTACATAAGTTTATCGGGGTTTTTATGCCAGTAAATCTTTTACTTTTTTTTGTTGTTGTTATACGGGATTGGGGCTCTTTTTGGGTTTTTAACATTTCTAATTTTAATTGAAAATGAGGTTTAATTGAAAATTGGGAAATTGAGTTTCGGTCAGAATTATTAAATTTTCAATCTGTCGGAGCACAAAATTCTCAAAATTCTATATTGTTAAATTCCCAAACGCTCAAATCCCAAATCTCACAAATTCTGAATCTCACATATTCCAAATCTCACAAATTCCAAATTTCACAAATTCCAAATCTCACATGTTCCAAATCTCACAAATTCCAAATCTCACAAATCCCAAATTTTACAAATTCCAAATCTCACAAATCCCAAATTTTACAAATTCCAAATCTCACAAATCCCAAATCTCCCAAATCCCAAATCTCCCAAATCCCAAATCTCCCAAATCCCAAATCTCCCAAATCCCAAATCTCCCAAATCCCAAATCTCCCAAATCCCAAATCTCCCAAATCCCAAATCTCCCAAATCCCAAATCTCCCAAATCCCAAATCTCCCAAATCCCAAATCTCCCAAATCCCAAATCTCCCAAATCCCAAATCTCCCAAATCCCAAATCTCCCAAATCCCAAATCTCCCAAATCCCAAATCTCCCAAATCCCAAATCTCCCAAATCCCAAATCTCCCAAATCCCAAATCTCCCAAATCCCAAATCTCCCAAATCCCAAATCTCCCAAATCCCAAATCTCCCAAATCCCAAATCTCCCAAATCCCAAATCTCCCAAATCCCAAATCTCCCAAATCCCAAATCTCCCAAATCCCAAATCTCCCAAATCCCAAATCTCCCAAATCCCAAATCTCCCAAATCCCAAATCTCCCAAATCCCAAATCTCCCAAATCCCAAATCTCCCAAATCCCAAATCTCCCAAATCCCAAATCTCCCAAATCCCAAATCTCCCAAATCCCAAATCTCCCAAATCCCAAATCTCCCAAATCCCAAATCTCCCAAATCCCAAATCTCCCAAATCCCAAATCTCCCAAATCCCAAATCTCCCAAATCCCAAATCTCCCAAATCCCAAATCTCCCAAATCCCAAATCTCCCAAATCCCAAATCTCCCAAATCCCAAAATTCTCAAAATCCCAGTTCCCAAATTCCCAACCTCTCCATCCCAAAATTCTCATTCCCCAATTTCCAAAATCTCCAACCCAAAACTTCCCAAATCCCCAAAATTCCCCAACCCAAAAATACATCCCCGCCATACCCCCTCAATCATTCCCCATCCTCCAAATCCTCAAACAAAAAAAAATGATCAAATTAATCGTATGCACCATAATCAACCATACTAAACCATAGCACACAAGTCCTACACCCAAGAATAAATTCAAAACATCTGTAACCTGCAAGGCAATTACTTCCCCCCCATTTTTCCATCCACTTCATACGTTGCCTAGGTGATTTTCTGTGGGCACGATAGGGCCCCAGGACACTTAAGGATACTTAAGATTCCTCCATGGATATATCTACCCACATACGAGCGACACACGCGTTTATTCCACACGTTAGCTCGCCACGATTCGATCTGTACGGAGGTGCACGTAGTAGGAACGTCCGTCCGCTCCTCCTAACCTAACCTCTCTTTCCTTCGTGGACACGCCTGGAATCACAATTTCAAATACCCTAACCGATCGTACGATTGCGTCTAACACGACACACCATAGCCATTTGTTGAAACGGTTTCGACTTCATTCACGTGCGGTGATTTGCACGCTCGAATCAGATCGTTCGATGGAAAGGTTTTTAATGGGCTTTTGTTTCGACTGTGTGTATTTACATTTTGTTTATTTGTTACTTTTTGGTGAGGCTGTACATGGTTTTAATTTGACAAAATTTTGTATGAATTTATTTTAACAAAATTTTGTATGAATTTATTTTAACAAAATTTTATATATGATTTTATTTTAACAAAATTTTGTATGAATTTATTTTAACAAAATGTTATATAACTTCAAATTAACAAAATTCTATATATGATTTTAATTTGACAAAATTTTGTATGAATTTATTTTAACAAAATGTTATATAACTTCAAATTAACAAAATTCTATATATGATTTTAATTTGACAAAATTTTGTATGAATTTATTTTAACAAAATGTTATATAACTTCAAATTAACAAAATTCTATATATGATTTTAATTTGACAAAATTTTGTATGAATTTATTTTAACAAAATGTTATATAACTTCAAATTAACAAAATTCTATATATGATTTTAATTTGACAAAATTTTGTATGAATTTATTTTAACAAAATGTTATATAACTTCAAATTAACAAAATTCTATATATGATTTTAATTTGACAAAATTTTGTATGAATTTATTTTAACAAAATGTTATATTGACTTCATTTTAACAAAATGTCACATGACTTCAATTTAACAAAATTCTATATATGATTTTAATTTGACAAAATTTTGTATGAATTTATTTTAACAAAATGTTATATTGACTTCATTTTAACAAAATGTCACATGACTTCAAATTAACAAAATTCTATATATGATTTTAATTTGTCAAAATTTTATATGAGTTTATTTTAACAAAATGTTATATTGACTTCATTTTAACAAAATGTCACATGACATCAATTTAACAAAATTCTATATATGATTTTAATTTGACAAAATTTTGTATGAATTTATTTTAACAAAATGTTATATGACTTCAAATTAACAAAATTCTATATATGATTTTAATTTGACAAAATTTTATATGAATTTATTTTAACAACATGTTATATGACTTGGATTTAACAAAATATTACATGACTTCAATTGAACAAACTTCTATGTATGAGCTGTCATATAATTTTATCATATTTATATTAATCAATATTGTTAATGATTAGTAATTAAGAAAAAAAGAAAGATTGTATTTGTTTACGTAGAACAGCAACCTAAAGATATATTCTTATCGAACGAATCGATTATGCCATAATGAGACTACCAGTTTCCAGGGGGTCTAATACGTTTTACATTTTTATGCGGTGCCGGCGAACAAAGAGCGTTTAAGAGCGAGGAACGTGGCTTTATCACCGCATCACGCATTCGAATCACCGGTCAGTGCTCTTACCAGACACCCTTCTTTGTTGCCGTGCATCTCGTTGTGTGCCGGGAAATTTAATGGATCTAATCCCTAGACCTTAACGTATTTCCGCAGGGAGCGTCTTATGAACGCAACCAGAACGACTTTCGAGCGTAAATCTACCCTAAACATCCCTCCATAAACCTTTACGATTCTACCTGCAAGAGTATCTGGAAGTTGTATGTGCTATGGTTTGTTTGACAAACGTTTTTGAAATGGGGGAGATTGTGAAATTGTACTTTCTAATATTTGCAGTTTTGCAGTGTTATGTAGGGGTTTGGATTTGTAGTTGGTGGTGTAGTTCTTTTTAGTATTTTTAGTTTTTGGTATTTTTAATTTTTGCTGTTTTTAATTTTTACTGTTTTTAATTTTTACTAATTTTAATTTTTACTAATTTTAATTTTTACTAATTTTAATTTTTACTAATTTTAATTTTTACTAATTTTAATTTTTACTAATTTTAATTTTTACTAATTTTAATTTTTACTAATTTTAATTTTTACTAATTTTAATTTTTACTAATTTTAATTTTTACTAATTTTAATTTTTACTAATTTTAATTTTTACTAATTTTAATTTTTACTAATTTTAATTTTTACTAATTTTAATTTTTACTAATTTTAATTTTTACTAATTTTAATTTTTACTAATTTTAATTTTTACTAATTTTAATTTTTACTAATTTTAACTTTTACTATTTGTAATTTTTACTATTTTTAATTTTTACTAATTTTATTTTTTACTCTTTGTATTTTTTACCATTTTTAATTTTTACTATTTTTACTTCTTACTATTTAATACTTTTTATAAATGACACATTTTTCACATTTGTTTAATATAATATTATTACTGTTAGAGGATGCATATAACGTAATGGTATTTTTCAATAAAACGGTACTTTTAGTAGTTGCAATTTTGTAACATTAAATGGCACATTTTTAATATTTATACTTAGTAGCATATTATGGTAATTTTTACTATTAGAGGATGTATGTGATATAATGGTACTTTTACAGTAAAATGGCACTCTTTAATAGTTGCAGTTTAGTATAATTAAATGGTACTTTCTATTCTATAATTTTAATACAATAGTATTTTTCATTATTGCAATGTGAGTAACAAAATAATATTTTTCATTAACATCTTTTAAATAAAATGGCACTTTTTATTGTTCATACTCTAATAAAACAAAATTGTAATATTTACCATTCATACTCTAATAAAACAAAATTGTAATATTTACCATTCATACTTTAATAAAACAATGATACTTTTCACTATAAATAACAATTTCATAAAATAGTACTTCTTGCCATTTTTATTTCACTATAATAAATTAGTACTTTTCACTAATAATACTTAAAAAACAACAACAATTTGTAAACAAAATTAACAACAATTTTGTTGAGTACCATAAAATTTCATGATCGTACACCATTAATACTATTTATCATTCATAATTCAATAAAACAAAATACTTTTAACAATTTAATATTGTAAAACACTAAAGTGGTACATTTTACCATTTTGCTTCAATACAACCAAATATTCCTCCATTCAATAAATGATTAAAATAATGAGAAACATAATAAAACCCAGGATTCGATTACACAGAAAATATCAATAATAAATACACACCCATGTATCCAAAATTTCAATCTAACCTACTCGAATTTTCCCACACAGTCCTCAAAAAAGTCTTCCGCATAAATATTCTTAGATAACTCACCCTCATCGGCGTTCCTAGATCCCCATAACACTTAGCACACTGGTAAACACACGATAAGATCGTTCCAGGATCCTCGATTACTCGTCCGACCGGCTGCACTAAGTCCCTGTTTATCCCGTGCTCACGTATGTTCACTCTTACGAATATACAAATCGCGGAAAATGAAAGGAAACCGAAAGAAACGCGGGAAAACTGAATACTAACCGGACACCAACGAGACGAACACTACCCGAGGCCTTCCCTCGCGATGGAAACACACTTTGGGTCCTCTGTGGCCGCTCCAGTCGGTTACGGACCCACTCCGTTCTGCGCATGCGCCGTTTACCCCCACCGCTCGCGCCGCGGGCCCGAAGAGTGGGGAGAGAACCGGCAACCCTCTTACGTGGAGACCTGTTCGTTTTCACGAAGCTGCGTTCACCTGTGGATTTTCCTGCTCAGGTGGCAGCACTGACTCACCTGACGCACGATTCGATCCGGTGTTCATTACAATGGCGTAAGAAGGGATTTTTTATTGGGGATGCACGATGAATGGAGCCAGTTTTATTGCATAGTTCGGTTGGATGAATGGTGTGGAGTTTTGTTGCTTATTTTGGATGCTGGTTTTGGTGGTCCGCGGATTTGGGTGGTGAATGGCTTGGGGATTTGGGAATTTGGGATTTTTGGTTTGGTGGAGGGGTTTGATGGATGTTGGGTGAGTTAGGTGGGTTAGATGAGTTAGATGTGGGTTATGGATGTGGGTTATAGTGGGTATGTTGTGGAATATGGGGATTTGTATATTATGCAATATAGGTTGCTTTATTTCCAAATTACTATATTGCCAAATCCTTATATCTCCAACTTCTTATATTGCCAAATTCTTATGTCACTAGTCTATGTTTCTATAACTCAAATTTCAACTTCTTGAGATTTCTATAGGACCAAACCTTGATATCCTCAGATTCCAATATCATCGAATTCTAACATCCCTAGATTTCTCTAGATTTACCTAGTTAGAAATTCTAACATTTCTAGATTCTTTTACCCCCAAGTTTCTATATTTATAGATACTTACATCCCCAAATCCCTATATCCCCAAATCCTTATATCTCTAAATCCCTATATCCCCAAATCCCTATATTTCCAAATTCTAATATTCCTAGATTTTTTCACTCCCAAATCCCTATATCACCTATATCCCCAAATCCCCATATTTCCAAATTCTAATAGTCCTAGATTTTTTCACTCCCAAATCCCTATATCCCCAAATCCCTACATCTCCAAATTCCTAGATCCCCAAATCCCTGGATCTCCAAATTTCTAAATCCCCAAATTCCTAGATCCCCAAATCTCTGTATTTCCAAATCCCTAGATCCCCGAATCCCAATATCCTCAAATCCCTAGATCCCCAAATCCCTATATTTCCAAATCCCTAGATCCCCAAATTCCCAAATCCCCAAATCCCCAAATCCCTATATCTCCAAACCCCCAAATCCCCAAATCCCCAAATCCCTATATCTCCAAACCCTCAAATCCCCAAATCCCCAAATCCCCAAATCCCCAAATCCCTAGATCCCCAAATCCCCAAACCTCCAAATCCCCAAACCTCCAAATCCCCAAATCCCCAAATCCCCAAATCCCTAGATCCTCAAATCCCCATATCCCCAAATCCCTATATCCCCAAATCCCCAAATCCCCAAATCCCCAAATCCCCAAATCCCCAAATCCCTAGATTCCTATACTGAATTTTATGAATCATTTTATAAAAAGATTTTTACAAGAATGATTTTTATAAATTACTTCATAAAAATGTGTGAAAGTGACAAATATTTTACGCGTCATCTCTCAGTATTTTGGCGACGAACCATTTTTCTACGACTAATCCTCAATGATCGTAAGACGCACCGGAAGACCGACAACCCCTTCTTTGTGAACCTGTTCCCTTTCATTCTGAACACTATTCACCTGTGAATATGGCAGCTTCTAATCCTGGTGTTACAGTGGCGTAGGGCCAATTTCTTTTTTTATTATTGAAAAAGGGCTTGCAAGAAATCGTGACATAATAAAATTCTAAAACAAAAATTAAAAATTATAGTATTAACAAAAGATGGATACTAAATTGTATATATATTAAATAACTCTACTAAAACTTTTTATACTGAAAATAATTTATCTACTAGTTCTAGTTTCTGATTTAAAATTTTCTTAGAGTAAATAACCTTGATAAATAAATAATCTCTAAATAATAAACTAAAAATATTTCCAGCAACCACACACTCTAATTTAACACCCAGTTCACAGTTTCTCTCATTTCCCCGTACAAGCCAGTATAATAAACAAGGGTTAACCCGAAACGTGGAAACGTTTCTTGTTCCAAAAATGTAACAGCGTTACACGTTGTGCAAATGTTGTTACATAAGTTCATCGTACGGTCCATTACGTTTGGTTTATGTCTGCATCGTAATTACGCAGTTAAGCATTATAGTAATACATTTTTAGACGCAATTGGTCTGAACGGTTCGCCATAATTGAACAATAAACTCATTCGTTTCTTGTAAAACTTTCCCCTGTGTGGTAAATCACCGCCATAACTTGTCAATGCATTTCATCGACGCTTATGCAACTATTTAATCGTCTGACAGTATGTAACGTTTCATTACGTAAATTGTTCGACGTTAACGTATCAAAACTTGAGGTATTTATACATAACACTTTTGCAAATTTTAATAGGAACTTTCAAATTTTGTTTTAGGCATAATGCAAGTATAGTTATTTCAAATTTTATTGTTTTATTGAGAGGGATATTATTTTGGTAGTTTTAATTGTGTCAAGTTTTATGGGGCGGGGTGTAGATATAGTTAGGTTGGGTTAGGCTACTCAAAGCTATGGTTAGGTTAGGTTACTCAAACTTATAGTTGGGTTAGGTTAGATTACTCAAACTTATAGTTAGGTTAGATTAGGTTACTCAAACTTATAGTTAGGTTAGGTTAAGTTACTCAAACTTATAGTTAGGTTAGATTGTATTACTCAAACTTATAGTTAGATGAGGTTAAGTTACTCAAACTTATAGTTAGGTTAGATTGTATTACTCAAACTTATAGTTAGGTTAGATTAGGTTACTCAAACTTATAGTTAAGTTAGGTTAAGTTACTCAAACTTATAGCTAGGTTAGGTTAGATTACTCAAACTTATGGTTAGGTTAGGTTAAGTTTCTCAGACTTATAGTTAGGTTATACTAGGCTACTCAAACTTATAGTTAGGTTAGAGTAGATTACTCAAAATTATAGTTAGATTAGGTTCAGTTACTCAAACTTATAGTTAGGTTAGATTAGATTACTCAAACTTATGGTTGGGTTAGGTTAAGTTGCTCAGACTTATAGTTAGGTTATACTAGGCTCCTCAAACTTATAGTTAGGTCAGATTAGATTACTCGAAATTATTGTTAGATTAGGTTAAGTTACTCAAACTTATAGTTAGGTTAGATTGTATTACTCAAACTTATAGTTAGATGAGGTTAAGTTACTCAAATTTATAGTTAGGTTAGATTATATTACTCAAACTTATAGTTAGGTTAGATTAGATTACTCAAACTTATAGTTAGATTAGGTTAAGTTACTCAAACTTATAGCTAGGTTAGATTAGATTACTCAAACTTATAGTTAGGTTAGGTTAAGTTACTCAAACTTATAATTAGGTTAGTTGACCTCAAAACGCGGAGTCAATGTGTAGTTCATTTGAGGTTAGATTATTGCAAAACAATTAAGAGTAGTACAAAGTTGAAGGTGAAATCTGTATTCATTTGAGATTGGGTCCTTGCAAAACAAGTATAATAATACAAAGATGCAGATCAAAGTTTTATTCATTTGAGGTTAGGTCGCTGCAAAACAATTAGCACTGGCACAAATATGTAGGTTAAATTTTTATTCATTTAAGGTTAGGTCGTTCCAAAACAATAATGGTGGCAATAACCTTAATAATAAATAAATTTCATTTAAACTATTTCTCTGACTACCATGATAAATAAATTCATTTTTCATATTAATCGTATATGAAGCTAACTGTCCTAGCATTTTGAAAATGCTTTTTCTATCAACATAATCAGTTTTGTTAAAAATAATCATTCAAACATTTCATTATATTGACCCACATTTTGTAATTATATTTTGTTATTTGTTTTAAGATAATGTTTTATAATAATTGTTAGTAAACATGAAAATAAATAAAGTATAAACTTGAAGAGAATCATGATTCACTTTACAAGGCACTTGAAAGTAATTTTCAAGTTTACAGAACATTACAATGCACATATAACAAAGAATTATGTAGCCGATGACTCAATAAACAGCGTTTGAATAAATTACGAACAAAGGATATGGAAAAAGTGATCGATCAGATGATTATCTACTTGTGCCCTCGACCGTGCTGCTTCTTCCTCGATCGTGAACGTTGAATCTCACGGAATTTGCGTTTGCACGTTGAAGAAACACGTGAAAAGAAGAAACCAAGAGGAAAAAGGGATAAGCTGCGTCAACGGACACTTGGATGCACACCGCTGACCCCAGGATGCGTTAATAATTCAACTCCTCTTCCTTTCGTTTCCTACGTATGTATGTTCAACATTCGCTGACTTCATACGTCATTTTAAATACATGTTAATTTCTTCTTATCACGTCATGTTTGGTATAAATAGATACACGTTAAATATAGATATACTACTTAGTTAAACTGATAACTAAGTTGTTTCTTTAGATTATGTACATTTTGTAATTTTGTCATTTTTAGCCTTTTTACAGATTTCGCTATTTTATATTTTCTGTTTTGACATTTTTTATATTTGAGTTGAATTTTAGATTTTTCAATGTTTAGTGTTTGCAAATTTTTAGGGGGATTTGCTAGTTTGTAAATTTTTAAGGTGGTACATTTGCAAGTTTGTAAATTTTCAAGGTAGTAGATTTGCAAGTTTGTAAATTTTCAAGGTGGTGGATTTGCAAGTTTTTAAATTTTCAAGGTGGTACATTCGTATATTTGTAAATTTTGTGGGTGATTAGTTAAAATTATATATGGATGATCAATTAACGAGCGGTCACTCAACGGGTGATCATTTAACTAACGGTCATTTAACAAGTGATCATTCAACAAGTTTCTTGTCATTTTTAATTATTACAGAATTATTGTATAACTTATTACATAATTGTCCATCTAATTCATTAATATTTTACTTAACAGGTGATCATTTAACAAGCGATCATTTAACAAATGGTCAATTAACAAGTGATCATCTAACAAGTTTCTTGCAATTTTTAATTATTATAGAATTATCATATAACTTAGTCCATCTATAGCCATCTATAATAAATTTTCAAGGTGGTACATTTTCAAGCTTGTAAATTTTCAAGGTGGGATTTTTGGAAGTTTGTAAATTTTCAAGGTCGTACATTTGTATATTTTGTGGGTGATTAGTTAAAATTATATGTGGATGATCAATTACGAGCGGTCACTTAACGGGTGATCATTTAACTAGCGATCATTTAACAAGTGGTCAATTAACAAGTGATCATTTAACAAGTTTCTTGCAATTTTCAATTATTACAGAATTATCATATGACTTATTATACAATTATCCATCTATAGCCATCTATAATAAATTTTCAAGGTGGTACATTTTCAAATTTGTAAATTTTCAAGGTGGTAGATTTACAAGTTTGCAAATTTTCAAGGTGGTACATTTGTATATTTGTGTATTTTGTGGGTGATTAGTTAAAATTATATGTGGATGATCAATTAACGAGCGATCATTTAACTAACGGTCATTTAACAAGTGATCATTCAACAAGTTTCTTGTCATTTTTAATTATTACAGAATTATTGTATAACTTATTACATAATTGTCCATCTAATTCATTAATATTTTACTTAACAGGTGATCATTTAACAAGCGATCATTTAACAAATGGTCAATTAACAAGTGATCATCTAACAAGTTTCTTGCAATTTTTAATTATTATAGAATTATCATATAACTTAGTATACAATTATCCATCTATAATAAATTTTCAAGGTGGTAGATTTTCAAGTCTGTAAATTTTCAAGGTGCTACATTATCAATTTTGGTGATACATTCGAAATTTGCAAGCTTACAAATTGTAAACAGTAAAATTTCTAAGCGATATTTTGGCTGTAACTAGAGAGTGTCACATCGAACACGACATGTTTTCTTTACGTTCACTCGAAATTCCATAACGTTCGCGCATACGTGACACACCCACGCACGTGTGCGAATTCTTTGGAACAATAGCCATGTCAGTCTACCTCTTACGCGACTTTAAGTGCACGTGCAAAAGACAATGTTCGAGAATCAGCTTCTCTTCAGCTTCAGATGATTCACCTAAAACAAGATTCTAGGGTGTCCACAAATTTTAAATGTAGTTTACAATTTTTTATTGCAAAAATGACAAAACTTCAGGTTAAATAAAAATCACTTTATTACGTACATTGAGCAATGATTCTACTATGCTAGCAATCGAATAGTAACAACTAAAACATATGTGTATGTACAAACCTATCGTGGCTCTCTGGTGCCTTTGATGGTGAATAAAAATAAGGTTCTATCGATTTGAACGTTCTTGTATACTTCTTTTCAGGATCGTGCCTAGTATATGTGTATTTACTAAATAAACTCCATTTACGAACACTGTACACGTCTAGTAATTTAGCAAAATTTAATATGTTCTAGATTCTTCTAGATCTCAACTGCTATCTTACTAGACGTGTAGGTTACATGTTTCTGTATTCATCCAGTTATCTTCGTTTGTCTGCCTTCTGAGAATACTGTTTGAAACGTCTGAATGATGTCTGGTCTGCTTGCGACTCTTTAAGTTCTTTAGTGATTGGTAATCGAGGTTAACTTGTAGGTATTTTCTTTGAGATAGAAAACATTTATTCTTTGCTTAGCTTAGTCACGAAGCTTCATTCTGAGTTTAAGAGCAGTGGTTTTATGCTGAGGAATATTAGAGTTAGCATTGGTAAGGTTAGGAAGTCTCAGATTTTGTTGATTAAATTTCTTTTTGTGGTTTCACTTAAAATCTGACAAACATGGAAACAAATCGCCATTTTGCTTTTTACTTAAATCCTCGATTTTATATATATATTGATACTAGATTCTTGGGACTTGGATCCTTAATATTAGATCAGGTGTGCTGAGCTATTGGGACCTGGATCTTTAATGTTGGGTTAGATATTACTAGGTACTAGGTTCTTAAGGTACTAGGTTCTTAAGGCCAGATCTTCCATGTTAGATCAAGGTTGCTACATCCTGAGTACTATTAGTTCAAGAATCCTAGAATCTGAGGACTTAGGTCCTTAGTGTTACATCAAGCTCATTACTAGTTAGTGTTGCATCAAGCTTATAAAGTTACTAGATGTGGACTTAAATCTTTAATACTAGTTCAAGAATTATTGAAGACCTTTAGGACCTGGATCCTTGATATTAGATCTGGGGTATCAGATGCTGTGGACCTAGATCTTTAATGTTTGAGCAAGGGTACTATATTAGAACTTAGATCCTCAACATCAGATCAAGGACAGTAGATCCTGAACATCAAATCAAGGTTACTAAAAGCTGGAGACCAGGAGACTTAAGAATATATCAAGGATACCAGATGATGTGGACCTAAATCCTTAATATCACATCAAGAATTATTAAAGACCTCCAGGACCTAGATCCTGAACATCAGCTTGAAAAGACAGTAGGTGCTTAGAAGCTAGATCCTCAACATCAGATTAAGGATAGACCCTAAAGACCAGGAGCCTTAATATTATATCAAGGGTACCAGATGCTGTGGACCTAAATCCTTAATATCACATCAAGAATTATTACAGACCTCCAGGACCTAGATTCTCAACTTCACATCAGGGACAGTAGATCCTCAGAACCTAGATCTCCAACATCAAATCAAGGATAGACCCTGAAGACCAGGAGCCTTAATATAATATCAAGGATACCAGATGCTGTGGACCTAAATCCTTAATATCACATCAAGAATTATTAAAGACCTCCACGACCTAGATCCTCAACATCACATCAGAGACATTAGATCCTCAGCACCTAGATCCCCAACAAGAATTATTAAAGACCTTCAGGACCTACATCCTTGACATCAGATTGAGAAGACAGTAGATCTTCAGAACTTGGATCCTGAATATCACATCAACCATAGACCCTGAAGACCAGGAGCCTTAATATTATGTCAAGGTTACTAGATATTGTGGACCTAAATCCTTAATATCACATCAAGAATTATAAAAGACCTCCAGGATCTAGATCTTCAACACCACATCAGGGACATTACATCCTCAGAACCTAGATCCCAACATCAAATCAAGGACACCAAATGACCCAGACCTATATCAGAGCTGTACCAAATTCAAATATATCATCATAACGTCAAGTCGTCAAAAAATTCAGATTCGAAATTCGACTACATAAAGTATTCCAAGTATTCAAATCTGAAGCCCAATACAGTATCTTCAAATGTTACTCGTTTATCTGAATTTGTACAGCTCCAAGGATGTCAGTCCCCGAATCAAAGAGAGAGCATTACAGGCACGACCCTGCCGGGATTTTATTATTCGGCGTCCGTCCAAAGTTATGGTCCCCTCACGTGGTCATTTCCAGGTACCTCTTAGCCTCGATGGAGCCATAACTGTGGGAATATCGACCACTATAAGAGGCCCTGGACCAAGCACCAGCCCTGTTCGAATAACTATTGCACGCGATCAGGGAATTCATGCCGCTGGGCCTGTCGATAGGTACACCCTGACCACGACTGCCATATCGCATGCTGCCGCTCCTCGATTCGCTGCTACCCGTCAGAGGTACCCTCAGGTCCTCGTTGGCACTAACCTCCGTGTACGGTTTTCGTTTTCGTGTGCAACTGCTCAGGAACACCGCGGCTATTACTCCCTGAAATGCGGGTATCAGAGACGTTTCAATATTCGAGGAATTTGATGGCGGTTTGGGTTTGGATTGGGGGTCTGTGGTGGGTTTGAATTGATGGGTGATGGTGGATGGGATGGGGTGGATTTTGGGATTTGGGGGGTTTGGAAGTTGTGGGTTTGGAAATTGGGGATTTAGGGATTCGAGGGTTCAAGGATTTGGGGATTTGGGGATTTGGGGATTTGGGGATTCAAGATTTGGGGATTTGGGGATTCAAGATTTGGGGATTCAAGGATTTGGGGATTCAAGATTTGGGGATTCAAGGATTTGGGGATTAAAGGATTTGGGGATTAAAGGATTTAGGGATTCAAGGATTTAGGGATTCAAGGATTTGGGGATTCAAGATTTGGGGATTCAAGGATTCAAGGATTCAAGGATTCAAGGATTCAAGGATTCAAGGATTCAAGGATTCAAGGATTCAAGGATTCAAGGATTCAAGGATTCAAGGATTCAAGGATTCAAGGATTCAAGGATTCAAGGATTCAAGGATTCAAGGATTCAAGGATTCAAGGATTCAAGGATTCAAGGATTCAAGGATTCAAGGATTCAAGGATTCAAGGATTCAAGGATTCAAGGATTCAAGGATTCAAGGATTCAAGGATTCAAGGATTCAAGGATTCAAGGATTCAAGGATTCAAGGATTCAAGGATTCAAGGATTCAAGGATTCAAGGATTCAAGGATTCAAGGATTCAAGGATTCAAGGATTCAAGGATTCAAGGATTCAAGGATTCAAGGATTCAAGGATTCAAGGATTCAAGGATTCAAGGATTCAAGGATTCAAGGATTCAAGGATTCAAGGATTCAAGGATTCAAGGATTCAAGGATTCAAGGATTCAAGGATTCAAGGATTCAAGGATTCAAGGATTCAAGGATTCAAGGATTTGGGGATTTGGGGATTCAAGGATTCAAGGATTCAAGGATTTGGGCATTCAAGGATTCAAGGATTTGGGAATTTGGGAATTTAGGGACTTGAGAATTTGACAATTTGAGGACTTCAGAATTTGGAGATTTAGGAATGTTGGGAATTTGGAGATTTGGGGATTGGGGGCTTTGGGACTTGGAGATTTGGGAATTTAGAGACTTGAGAATTTGACAATTTGAAGACTTCAGAATTTTGAGATTTAGGAATGTTGGGGATTTGGAGATTTGGGGATTTGGGAACTTTGATAATTGGAGATTTGGAAATTTGGGAATTTTGGGACTTAGGAACTTATGGATTTATGAATTTGACAAAATTGGAGATTTGAGGATTTGGGGTCTGGAGATGTTGAAGGTTTGAGGACCTGAGCGTTTGGAGATTTAGGAACTTGACAATATGAGGCTTTAAGGATTTGGGAATTTGGAAATTTTGTGACATGAGGATTTGGATATTATACTACATCTGAAATATTAGGTATACTTCAATAATTTCAATAATTAATAATTGAATCACTTACCACTATTAAATGGAGCATCACGATGAACATAGTACCATTCCTGAAACCAGTGTTGTCCAAAAGAATGCCTGCCACACTAGGTCCAATAAAAGCACCCAGGGCAAACGTACTCGTCCACAATCCACTGACCAAACCATAGGTCTCAAGATTGTTTGGAAAGCCATAGGCTCTAAAAATGAATGATTCTTTATATATAATATAACCTAATCTCTTAGACAAGTCTTTGCAAATAGCTTCTGCAATTATTTTTCAACGTTTGCTTATATGTTTGCGAACAAAGTATGTAGCTCTAAGTTAAACATTTTAAAAGAACCATAAAAGTTTGAATAACTCAAAGCTGTTAATAATTTGTCATAAATAATTTAGGGTTAATAGTTTGTTATGAGTAGAAAACTTACATGGATGTTCTCAAGGCATCCGTGAAGCTGGCAACCAGCTGGGCAGCCATGCCCAAACCATGCACCACGAGTCCACAAATTGTCATCCATATTGTGGTTTGACATGGTATAAATGGCGCTGGTCCTACTAGACAGAACCCTACCACAACTAATATACATCCAGCTACTGTGGCTACCTAAAATTAATAAATTAATAAACTTAATAAACTTAATAAACTTAATAAAATTAATAAAATTAATAAAATTAATAAAATTAATAAAATTAATAAATTGATAAACTTCAAAAACTTAATAAAATCAATAAGCTTCATAAACTTAATAAAATTAATAAACTTCATGAGCTTAAAAATTAATTCTTTCGTAATCTATTCGCAATTAGGTAATCAATGTGGAGTTTATTTCTAGACAAATTTTATTTCATCTATTATTCTAAACGAACCTCACATTTATTTTTTCATGGAAAATGCTATAATAATAATTATCAATAATTTTTATTTAAATGTTTTCATTTAAGGAGAGGTAAAATGCAATATTGATTAACTATGCACGTGTCAATAGATGTCATTTAATTTTAGATGTCGTTTATCAAGAATTCTCTTAAATTTGAAGAAATGTATAATTACCTTAGGATGAGAGTATTTGTCGCAAAGCCAACCCCATGCTGGGGCAGTAATAGCGTAAGTACCGCCATTAATGACGAACATTAGGCCCAAAATAACGGGGCTCAGGTCAAATTGCCTTAAATGTGGTTCTAATGTTGCTTGCAAAAATCCTATGCTCATACTGGTCGCGATTATCGATGCTGTGGCAATTAGCACACCGGGGATTTTTAAGGCTTTAGTCACTCCTGTCAAAATGAGGGAAAATTAGAAAACTTCTACATTTCAAGGTTGGGAAATTTAGAGATTTGAAGGTTGAAGAATTACAAAATTTGAAGATTTGAAATTCTCAAAAATTGAAACATTAAGAGTACCAGTCAGAAAAATGACTATAAGTGATAAGTGAAAGTGCCAACCATAAAAATGACTATAAGTAACAAGTAAAAGTACCAATCATAAAAATGACTATAAGTAACAAGTAAAAGTACCAACCATAAAAATGACTATAAGTGATAAGTAAAAGTACCAACCATAAAAATGACTACAAGTAACAAGTAAAACTATCAACTATAAAAATGACTATAAGTAACAAGTAAAACTACTAACAATAAAAATGACTATAAGTAACAAGTAAAAGTACCAACCATAAGAATGACTATAATTAACAATTAAAAATACCAACCATAAAAATTACAATAATCTCACCTCCTGTATTCTGAGTCTCTTCATTGTTATTCGGATGAACAGGCAAAATAAAAATAGTCATAACTGCAGTCGTGAACAGCGCGGATCCCAAAACAACAAATGGCGTCGTGTATCCTCCAACCTGTAAAATTCATCAGTATAATAATTCCTACCCTCAAATCCACCTAACTATAATTACTAAACCTTACGTACACCAAATACCCATGAATCTATAATGAAATTTATAATAAATAATCTAACGTATAAAATTCATCACTATAATAATTCCTACCCTCAAATCCACCCAAATATAATCACTAAACCTCACATACACCAAATACCCATGAATCTATAATGAAATCTATAATAAATAATCCAACGTATAAAATTCATCACTATAATAATTTCTACCCTCAAATCCACCCAAATATAATCACTAAACCTCACATACACCAAATACCCATGAATCTATAATAAAATCTAGAATAAATGTTTCGTACCTGATAGAGCGCGCCACCTACAGTCGGTCCCACAATGAGTCCCAACCCAAAGAACGTTTCGAGGCTAGCAAAAGTCGTGGCAACATTATCCGGAAACTCTTTGGCGATAATGGCGAAACTGGCTGTAAGAAAAGCTGCGTTTCCCATTGCCTCGACGATCCTAATCACGAACGAAAGGACTATGAAGGGATAATGACCGTTCACCTTATCCAGCAGACCGAAGAAGATAGCGCAAGTTCCTGTCGTTAGGATTCCTCCGTTGAACAAGAGTTTTGGTCCAATCCGGTGTAACTGAAACAATTACGTTATCTGAGTTAAAATCAAAACTTGACTGTTTACTTGACTGCCACGTCAACGCTTATTGTGAACGAATTTTTTTGATGTGTAGGATTTTATGTTGACTAACGTTAGGTTAGGTTTATTTAAGTAATTTATTGATGAACTTTTTTATGTAAATTTGTATATTTTATGGGAAATTAGTTGAAATTATATGGGGATGATCAATTAACGAGCGGTTGTTAATAGGTGATCATTTAAGTAGCGATCGTTTAACAAGTGGTCAGTTAACAAGTGATCATTTAACAAGTTTCTTGCAATTTTTAATTATTATAAAATTATCGTATAAATTGTTATATAATTATCCATATAATTCACTAATATTTTACTTAATATTTTAGGTGATCATTTAGTATGCGATCATTTAACACGCTATCATTTAACAAGTGATCACTGAACAAGTTTCTTGGCATTTGTAATTATTACAGAATTATCATATAACTTATTGTATAGTTATCCATCTAATTCACTAACATTTTGCTTAACAGGTGGTCATTTAACAAGTGGTCAATTAACATGTGATCATTTAACAAGTTTCTTGCAATTTTTATTTTTGCAATTTTGGTATTCATGTTGAGACTATGTATGTTCTTGACTCCTTGATCAAAGTTAAAACATAAAAAATTTTAAATTTGGAATCTTTTGCAATTATATTCTGATGAACTTGGTATATTGAAATTGATTAATTATTATATAAATTCTTATACAATTAAATTTTACTATTATCAATTTGTTCTATTATATTAATTCGATAATTGTTACATTAATAACTGTATTAATTCTTATTCAATAATTATTGAACTATGATATTCAATAAATTTCCTATTAACTCTTATTCAAAATTTTCTCACAAAATACTTGAAATAATTTAATACTCATGAAATATAATGAAAAATAGATAATAATAGAAATGCGATCAATAACCCTAAGTATTGCAAGTCCACGTACTCCACCGTTGAAGATTTGCCTACACTCAGGCGCCTTTTTTTATCACACCGCGTTTTTTCCGTCTTCACTGATGAAATCCTCGACGATAATCAAAAGTGGCGTCTAAGTGAAGCCCAAAATTGACCAAGCAAGTTATAAAATTGTTATCAAAGACAGAAAACATTGGAAACGATTCGTACACAAAACTATAAATGTCGCTTTATCTCTGAACTAGCAAAAAGAGATCGAAGGGACAAAGATAATATATCAGTCACAAGAATTGCGAAATCTCGTTTCATGGTATTGTTTTTTTTTGCAGTTTGATAGTACAAGGTGATAGTATAATAATTTCCTTCGTAATAATAAAATAGCTAAAAATAAAGCAAGCTTTTTATTTTGTTTCATTAAATTTTTTTGCTTTAGATTTGGTGAAATAATAGTGGATTAGATGGATAATTGTATAGTGAGTTATATGATAATTCTGTAGTAAATAAAAATTGTGAGAAACTTCTTCAATGATCGCTTGTTAAATGATCACCTGTTAAATGATCGCTTGTTAAATGATCACTTGTTAAATAAAATGTTAGTGAATTAGATGGATAATTATGTAATAAGTTATATGATAATTCTATAATAAGTAAAAATTACAAGAAACTTCTTCAGTGATCGCTTGTTAAATGATCACCTGATAAATGATCGCTTGTTAAATAATCACTCGTCAAATAAAATATTAGTGAATTAGATGGATAATTATGTAATAAGTTATACGATAATTCTGTAATAAGTAAAAATTACAAGAAACTTCTTCAGTGATCGCTTGTGAAATGAGCACCTGATAAATGCTCGCTTGCTAAATGATCGCTTGTTAAATGATCGCCTGTTAAATGATCATCTGTTAAGTAAAATAAATTACAACAAATAAAAACAAAGAAAGAAAGAGCTTGCGAGTGACCAAGTAATTAAATAAATAACCAAATGATTATAAAAATAATATATAATTATTTCACCCACGTATCGTCCATAAAGAGGACTGACAATGAAGACAATCAACTCGAACACTCCAAAAACCAATCCATACTCGGACGGCGATGCACCCTTCTTCTCAGCCTGCGAACAAACGAAACGTACCCTTGAAATCAATTAATTACACGATTCTTTAACCGCGGATCGAATGTGTTAAACGATTCCGTGTTATTATTACGCACTTCGTACCGTTATCATCTCGTTCGACTGCAATTAACGCTCGTCGAGATAAAAGCTTGATAAACTTTGGACACTTCACGCAGCTTACAAACCAAATTATCGTGAGTCGATAGAGAACGATGGGTAATAATTTTCGAAATTAAACATCTGTGTTTCATTGTGAATATATATGAATCTTTTGTATATTTATTTTGTTTTCTAAGTTTTTGACATTTTTAATTTTTTGTTATTGGACGAAGTTTAATAAAATTATTTGCAATTAGTAATTTAGTATGATGTTTGAGGAATTAGGTTTATATGACTTTGTAAGTTATGGTGTTTATTAATATTTCTATTTGATGATTTTTTGGTAAGATTGTTAGACTTCCATCTCAAAGGTAGAAAAGAAATATATTGACTGTTTAAAATTTTATTAGAAGTAAAATAATAGTTGGTGTACGATTATACTAGATAGTAAACAATTAATTATTATTATACTACACATATTGCATTTGAGGTAAATTATTATTTATTAAATTAAATTTAGAATTAAATTGTAATACTATATAATTCTAGTCAGTGTTTAATAATTAATAACTGCCATAGTACAATAATATTTTACAATAACAATTATTAACAGTAACATAATACAATACAATAACTATAATAATACAATACAATAACTACAATAAATATTTATTAATAATCACAAAATAATTATTAAATAATTTAACCCTCCAATAAAATTACCATAACCTACAAAAATCGAGCACCAGCTCAAAAACCTAACCTAACCTCTAAAAAATCGACTATAACCTCAAAAAATCAACCATAACCTCAAAAAAGTCTTTCATATCAAATAATATAAATAGTCAAATAATTATCATGTAATCCATATCAAGCATCATAAACGAAAAACATTAGAGTAGTTTAAAGAAATTTCTTGATCAAAGTTAATTACAAGATAACGATAGATTTTAATGAGTTCCATCAAGTAAATTGTGAAATCTGGCGAAAACGTGTACAGAATTCAGATGCTTGCCTTTTAATCGCACATTTTTTTTTAATCTTCTTTAACAGATTACAACTTATTATGTGTAATTATACATATTCAGTCGCCAGACGATAGACAAATTATATTAAATTGCGATACAAGAGTAGTTTAGTCAAGTGATAAATGATTAACGAGATTAATTTGATATGCTGTACTAATTTGTACATTTTCTTGTTTCGAAAGATTTGCAGTGATGAAGGACAAAAAGTGTGCTAATTGCGGATGTGGGATATTAGATAGTTTGGGTTTTTGGGATATTAGAGCGTTTCAAATTTGGAAATTTGAGAATTTGGGGATTTGGAAGTATGGGAAATTTTAAATTTAGGGATTTGGTGGATCGATATTTTGGGAATTTGAAATTAGAGAATTTAGGGATTTGGAAGAGTGAGAATTCGATAATTTTGAAATTTGGGAGATTGGTAATTTGGAATTTAGGAAATTTGGGTCTTTGGGATATTACAGTGTTTCAAATTTGGGAATTTGGGGATTTGGAAGTTTGGGATATTGAAAATTTAGAGATTTGGTGGTTCAACATTTTGGAAATTTGAAATTTGGTAATTTGGGAATTTGGAAGAGTGAGAATTCGATAATTTTGAAATTTGAGAGATTGATAATTTGGAATTTAGGAAATTTGGGTCTTTGGGATATTAGAGTGTTTCAAATTTGGGAATTTGGGAATTTGGAAGTTTGGAATATTGAAAATTTAGGGATTTGGTGGTTCAACATTTTGGAAATTTGAAATTTGGTAATTTACGGATTTGGAAGAGTGAGAATTTTATAATTTTGAAATTTGGGAGATTGGTAATTCGAAATTTAGGAAGCTTGGATTCTTGGAAAATTAAAATGTTGCAAATTTGGGAATTTGGAAGTTTAGGAAATTGGAAATTTAGGGATTCAGTGATTAAACATTATTGAAATTTGAAATTAGAAAATTTAGGAATATGAAAGATTGAGAATTTGATAATTTTGAAATTTGAGAGATTGGTAATTCGAAATTTAGGAAGCTTGGGTCCTTGGGAAATTAAAATGTTGCAAATTTGGAAATTTAGGGATTTGGAACTTCTGGCATTTTATTTCGTTCTTGAGACTGCAATAATTCTTTTTGCACAAGAATCAAACAATATCCTAAAATTGATAACTTTCAGTTAAAATATCCATACACCATTTAGTAAAAATTTTCTACAAAATATGTTGCCTTCATTTATTATTTATTTTAAATGAATTATTACATATCGTAAACAAATCTTGTAGGAAAAGTTTTAAAATCAACTAAAATTGTAAAATTCGTAATTAATAGGCAACCTAACCTAACAGTTCCCCATCAAAAATAAACCAAAGAGTTCTTATTAAACAGCCGATAATTTTCTCCGTATCGAATATCTCTCGCAAGGGAAAGCAAGATTATATTTAGATCTATTGTTTAGTCTGCACCAATATTACATAAATGCAACCTAAAATTATGCTTGAAATGCTGTTCGTATGCGTCATTGATAACTCTCGTCTGGTTTGCCGAATGATTCATCGAAAAAGTACTCGAAACTATCGATACAAAATATTCCAATATGATTACCAACAAATAATCAAAATAATTGAAATAATATAGATACTTGTTAATTATAGAGATAATTGTTTATTGACAGTGCAATTAATAATTCATTCTAAATTGCCAATTACCAATTTAATTTCATATTTAATTTTAGTTCGATAATTTAGTTTATCGAATATATTTCGTTCCAACTTGCAATTGCGGTTATGCACATAATCGTTGTTGCTGTTATTGTTGTTGTTACGGATCAATTAATTCGAGATGAGTGCAAAATTATATTAGTACATATTCGAAGCTTCTTGCATCAGGCTTTTCGAGAGAAGATCAGGGTGACGCAAAAAACAGCGATGTCAGGAAGTTGCTGTTTCTTCTTGCGACATTTTGAGGTTATGTTTTTGAGATTTGTTTTATTGAAGAAGCTACGATGATTAAAGACTATGATAATTTTAATACACATAGTTATATATTCTGTACTATAAGTTGCTGTGTATTGTTTTCGTAATAATATGAATAATTGATAGTAATATCTTGTTAATATTTTAGGATTTTTGGTGTTTATTGGCGATACAGTGTTTACTGACAGTATTAGGGTTAGGTTAGGTTGGGAGTTGAGTGCTAGTTTGAGGATGGTTTTGGAGAGTTAGGTGAATTTAACATGGAGATTTAGATAGGTGAAGATTTGGGAATTTGAGGATTTAAGACTTTGAGAAATTGCGAATTTTGGAATTTAGGAATTTAGGGCTTTGGGAAATTGCAAGTTTGGGAATTTAGGAATTTGGGGATTTGAGAATTTGGGAATTTAGGGATATGGGGATTTGAGAATTTGGGAATTTAGGGATATGGGGCTTTGGGAAATTGGAAATTTAAGAATTTAGGGATTTGGTACTTTGGAAAATTGGAAATTTGGGAATTTGGTGGTTCAAGATTTTGGTAATTTGGAATTTTGGGATTTGAAATTTTGAGGGCTTGATAACTTTGAGATTTGGGATCTAGGAAGGTTGGATCTCTGCAAGTTTAGGACATTATAAATTTTGGAATTCAAGGATTTGCAACCTTGAGAAATTGTAAACTTAAGAACTTGGTGGTTCAACATTTTGGGAATCTGCAATTTGGGAATTTTGGAATTTGGAAGCTTAAAAGTTTTTGTTATTTTTGAGATTTGTATGATTAGTAATCTGGGATTCTGAACATTATAGGAACATTATAGAAATATTATTGAGTTCAACATTTTAGTAATTGTGGGATTTGAAAGTTTAATAATTGTGGAATTTGAAAGTTTGATAATTTTGGGATTTGAAAGGTTGATAATTTGGTTTCAAGGAAATTTAATAACGTTAAGTCACTGTTTACTCTCAGTACCAAATACTTAATCACAATCGACTATACTCGCTTACTAATAAAAATGTCGCCAGATGGCGTCGAATCGTAAAGTTACAATACATTCAGTCTCGAAACTAAAGCTACAATACATTCATCCTCGAAAGTAAAATTGTAATACATTCCTAAACTAAATGAAATCTAAACCACAATCTACAGTCTACTTTGTAACATTAAAAACTAGTAAATGAACATCCAACTCAGTTCCATCTTCCATAAAAGATGCAAGCACACAAAAGCACATAGATCTGTCGTTCATTATACGTTATTCAAGCTATCGTGCTTTTTCTTCGAAGAGGAAGATTACGTGTTTTCGAGCCGATTTATTTATAAATATTCGAAAAAATCGGTGGTATCGATAAAACTTCGAATCTCGTTGACGTAATCTACTCGACAAGAAAATTTTCTGTTTTTATTCTCCATAGAGTATACATATGTATAAAGTGATACCAATTCCATGCATCAATTAATAACAATTTATTCGATCATTTAAATTATTCAAAACAAAATTTAATATATTTATTTTCTGCTAATGATTGAATGATTTATTAGATGATTAATTTAGCTTCTTCTATTGATAACTGTTCGTTTATATTTTTATGTATTTATCTGTTATATTACTTGTTTGTTCAGATTAGTTAACAAGGTTGTCTATTTTGTAAACGTTTGATCGACGTTTTAATTATCTATTATTACTAAAATTATTATTGTGTTATCATGAGTATTGTAACTTCTGTTGTTACTATTAAAGATTATTGCAATTATTATTGTTATTAAAGTTATTATTGTGTTACAATGAATATTGTAACTTCTGTTGTTACTGTTAAAGATTATTACAATTATTATTGTTATTAAAGTTATTATTGTGTTACCGTGAATATTGTAACTTTTGTTGCTACTGAAGATTATTGCAATTATTATTGTGTTATCATGAATATTGTAACTTTTGTTGTTAACTAAGATTGTTACTATTATTGTTATTTTTATTATTATAATTATTTACTTTTGTTACTATAATTTTGTTGTCAATTTTATATTATTAATATTACAACAAATATTCTTATTTTTATTTTTACAATTTTTGTTGTTTATTATTTACTATTATTGTCACCACTATTTCTGTTAGAATTATTATTATTATTTTTACCAGTGATATTGCAAGTAAAATTATTATTATTTCTCATTATTTGAAGCTGGAGCAATATTGTTATTTAATACCTAATAATATTTTATTATTATTTAACATCATTGTTTATGGTGTTCATAGTAATAGCATGATATACTTAACCTACTATTAATGACATAATTTATTATTATTAATTAACTACCCTTAATACCACCCTTAAGAATATTCATACAATTCAAACAATTAGGTTATACCCATCACTCAAATCTCAATAATTATATTTATCAATAATATAAGAATTTAGAAAGACTGTGTTCATTCAGCAATTACCTAATTTAATAATTACTAATAGTACACTAATTCAATTAATAATTCAATAATAATTATATTTATAATAAATATAATATACTAACCCAAGAAGTTGTAAGTTTCAGTAAGATTCTATCACAGAAGCTGCCATATATCCGGACATTTATATCATAAATTTACTATTAAATCTACCAATGTACTTTGAAATTAAAAATGAAGTTAAAAATTAATTAAACGAGTGGTAACGTTCATTGTGTCGTTGAAAAACAATTCAAATTTCAAGGAAACCTTGAAAATTGTTATTTTTAATTAACTTAAAATAAGAAGTTCTTGATATAATCACTTGACTGCTTTGGTAATTTTAGTAACTACTTAAAGTCTGTCTTAAAACTCTGTCTTGAAACTAAACACAGGTTTCTAGCAAAACTAAAATTGTTCTAACATAAAATAAACCTTGTAAGACTATTATTCGATCATTTTAGCTTCATTTGCTTCTGGAAATTTAGTGATTTAAAACTTTGATAAAACTTGTTTGATCATTTTGGAAGTTCCGATATCAAATTACTCGAACCAAATCCACATCAATTCTCAAAAAAAGAACACATACTAAAACCCACCATAAAAATCCTTGCAAAATAAAATAAAACTAGCAAAGTATAAAATGCGCAACATTACCTCTTGCGGATAAAAGGGTGCCTGAAGAGAAACGCAAATAGCGTTCGCAAAGTCCGCAATACTGATGACGATCAGCGTCAGCCATTGTCTCCTAGTGAATTGAGCCACCATCCTGCCCTAGCACAACTCCCTTACAATTTCAAATTTCCAATTTCCTTACAAATTCTTCCTGACAACTCAAGGAACCGACACCAACGACGGTCGACCGACCTCTAGAATTTCGAACGCACTTATCACCAGGATTTCCGTAATCACGACTTCACCACGTTCGCAAGCAGGCGTCACCGTGTCCTGGTGTGCCTGCTACAACGCGTGACTCGACGCGACAACAGCTTCTGACATGAGTTACTCCTCGGTTTTGTCCGACAATCCAACAGACCGGCACCTACGGGGGGTGCGAGGGGTGCTGAGACAGAAACAACGGGTCAGAGGTCGAACGATACCGCCTACCATGGTTCTAATTCATTATCGGACAACGTTGCGAGACTTGCTTCTAGAACTGCTCTTCAGATTGGGATGGGGACGGAGAAATACTGCTACCCTCTCTACTGGATTGTATTTATTTTAATTTTGAGGTGTATTTGTTTCGTGGAGGAGGACTTTTTGGGTTACTACTGATTTTTTGATGGAGACGAGGATGATTAGGGAGGAATACTGCTACCCTTTCTACTGAATTGTATTTATTTTAATTTCGAAGTCGTGGTATTAGCATTTATGAAAGTTATGTGTTATAATATTTGGATAGCATCACGGTTTGAATTTATTGATAGTTGAGGACCTCGACGTTTTGGGTTATTACAGCTTTTTAGATTGCGACAGTAACGATTAGGGAAGGATTTAAACTCCTCTACTTATTGTTAGTAGTATTTATTTTAATTTGAAAGTTGCAGTGATGAGGATTGTACTACTTGATCTTTTTTATATTTTGTTTGTGTTCGATCTCAGCTTAAACCCATCACTACAATTGACTATTCTATAACTTGTAAAAATATTGTACTTGTAATTTATTATTAAGTGTTGTATTACTTGATCTTTTTTAAATTTTGTTTCTGTCCAATCTCAACTTAAATCCATCACTACAATTGTCCTATTCTATAATTTGTAAAAATACTGTAGTTGTAATTTATCATTGAACATTGTGAGACTTGATCTTTTTTAAATTTTGTTTGTGTACAATCTCAGCTTAAACCCACCACTACAATTGTCTATTCTATAATTTGTAAAAATACTGTAGTTGTAATTTATTATTGAGCATTGTGAGACTTGATCTTTTTTAAATTTCGTTCATGTACAATCTCAGCTCAAATCCATCACTACAATTTATAATTAATACCTTGTTTAGTATTAACGTGTTTGTATTAATGGAATAATACGTTTCTCGTATGAATAATATTATTGACAGTATAATATCTAGATACTATAACGAGCAAGAGTCCTTTACCTTCATAAACAAGAAAATACAAGAAACGAACAATAGAAAATTATCTGAAATTAGCTTATCAGGAAAGTTTGTAGGTTTAAGCATGACAAATTATATACACAGCGGAATCGAGTGATTTATTTCATCTGTTCCCCACGCTATGTACAGTGACGTATCGCGTTCTTAATTAAAGAGTTAAATAAACTAATTCGTGACGATGAAAAATAAGGGTTTCGCATGCAATGTTGCTAAGCTAAGAATAGAAACTCCATTTTAGAGAGTTTCTGGATGTTTCTATTTCTTCTATAGTGATAATCATGTGAATATTGATAAGTCGGTGATGTCATCTATTGGTGTGCGGATAATACAAAATTATTGTGTATATAATTTACTTTGCTATTTAAGGTTGTATACATTGTTGTTTGATCACGATTGTCTGAACGTTGTTTAAATTGTTTAAATAAATTCAGAGAAAATAACTAAGAGAACAGTACATGATAAAACAATTTAATTATATTATTATTTATAAAAATAATATTTAAAAGGTATGATACAAAGAAATTATAAAAATTGATATTTTTTTTGTTCATAAAAATAGTAAATAAATTCAAACAGTAGTTTTTACATTTTGTTTAATTTAATTTACTCAATGATTATTGTTCATGTGAGTAATTATTATAAACTTATGTTGCAGCCATAAATTATACTTTATTCAATACAATTTATAAAGTATGATGAATTAAATAATACAAGAAATATTTGCAAAATTTAACTGCACAAAGTATCTTCTATATAAGGAGATATTATTGTATAAATTATTTTAACAAAATCACATTTCAGAAATAATTAAATTTCCAAACAACAAGTTACTCTTCAAGTTACAGTTCAGACAATCGAGATTCTGTGTCCACAATATTAATAATCTCAATAAACTGTTCTTAATTAAATTTCATCAAGAACGACTAAAAATTCACTATGTTGAAGTAACACCTTAATTGCCATTAATCTATATATTAAACATTCAATTATAATTTTTAAGTAAAAGATCGCGTCGATACACAACGCGTCCGCCATTTTGTCGCGCACGCACCGCGTAGAGTCAACAAAATGGTGGCAGTAGAGGCTCATCGACAACTGTTAAAATTTTCTTACAATAAAACTGTAAATAAAAATCATCTTTACTGTGAATAATAATAATTTTATCTGTTTTTTCAAATTTATAAATTTAATTTCTTTTGTATATTAATTAAATGACAAATTTAATTTCTGTTACATTTAAATTAATTCGCAAATTGAATTTCAATTATATTTGAAATAATTTACAAATTTTATTTCAATAGTGTTTTAATTAATTCACAAATTAAATTTCAATTATATTTTAAATAATTTACAAACTTAATTTCAATTATATTTTAATTAATTCATAAATTGAATTTCAATTATATTTTCAATAATTTACAAACTTAATTTCATTCATATTTAAATTAATTCACAAATTGAGTTTCATCCACATTTTAATTAATTTGCAAATTTTATTTTATTTACATTTACATGAATGACTTACAAGTTACAAAATAAAAATGTTAAATTAAATCCTCAAAAAATGAAGTTATATATCGATTGATTATGGCAATCAAGGTGTTAAGTCATCACAAATCTCAAACAACTCAACATCCGTCGAACACTCGGTCCAACACAACTTAATTACAGAACTATGTTTCTCAAAATATCGTCCATTAAGACTTCTTCTAATAAACTACGTGTCATGAAGCCAAACTTTCAATGGAATCTTGATTAAAGCCTTCCCCAGGAAATCCTTGAAGTGTTTAGCGATACTCGCGCTGGCCGCTGGTCTCATTTCTTCGATGATTTCTTTAGCGTTTTGATTCAGAAATTGATTCATCGCTTGTCCTATCACGTTTTCTCCGTTTAATTCGTCGACTACGCGAAATCGAGCTCGACCCAGACTAAAATCGACCAACATTTTCGCTACTTTTAGATAACGGACGCCATCTCGGATTTCTTCTGCTCCTTGGATTCGCGCTATGGCGAGTACGTCACCTAAAAAACAATATTTTAGGTTAGTTTCGTTTCTTAATGAAACTTTTCTTATCTAGATAAAATAACTAGTATTAAACTAGTATTAAAATAATTAGTAATACGTTGGTGGTCATTTAGGATTATAATTTAAGCCCAATAAGTTGCAATTTTGACTTTGTTTATGGTTGAAGATGAAGTGACTTTGTTCATGTCCTATGTGGAGGTAGTTGAACAATAATTTAATTGCAATTCTTGTTATCTTAATAATTTTATATGAATTATTTGTCGAATTAGAATTTAATGTATTTTCATTGCAGATTTGCAAAATTAGAAATGATTGTACAGAAAATAATATGAAAGTGAATTTTTCAAAATGGTGGCTATTATACTCATCGAAAATTGAAGTATATCTTTACAAAAATAGTTTTACGAAATAAAGTAATATGATGTAGAATTAATTTATCAAAATGGCACCTACTTATCCTAACTAACAATTATAATGTTTAAGTCTAAATAAATAATTTCACTAAATTCCAATATTCAAGTCTAAATAAATAATTCCACTAAATTCCAATATTCAAGTATAAATAAATAATTCCACTAAATTGCATTATTCAAAGCCAAATAATTCCGCCAAAAATAAAAAATTAGCTTACCAAAAAGTGCCCAAAAATCGCCATGGCTCTGAATAGGAAACAGTAAAACATTTCCCACAACTTCATATCGACCTTGAAGTTCGATCTTCGGGAACGCTAGGTGAAGGTCGACTCTATACGAAGGTATATCGACTCTGGTTTTGATGATCGAGTAATTTCCCGCTCCTATAACCGTGATATTGGAAAACAGAGCTCTCACTCGAACAGCACCCTGTCCGTTTTCCATTCCGAGTTCTGGGATGATTAAGGGTTCGATTGGGGGGAGGTCCAGCTCGGGAATACCTAAAGAATGGGCATTCTATACAATGAAAATTATTGAGCTGCAATTGAAAATAATCTTAATTACTGTTTTAGATTAATTTTGAGATCTAAAGGAATTTTTGGTTTGAAATTTTTGTTATTGAAGATGGAGTGCTGTTTTGTGGGATTCTGTGAATTTTATTGTAATTTGATTTTTGATTATTGCATTTGTGATATATTATTTGTTATTGTATTTATTATACATTATTTGCAGTTGCATTAATTTTCTGTCAAAAATTGTTGAAATAAATAATTGAAATTTAGAAATTTTTTGTACTATCAAGTTTAAATTTTAAGTCAATTTTCAAATTACAATTATTGTATTTTTAACATAATAATTATTACTATATTAACTATTTTTTATTGCAACTATTCCTCGCTTCGCTGTGCAACACACTCAGCTATTTTGTTTAAAAAATTATTGAAATACGTTATTTTTAATTTTTGAGAACTTGGAATTTCATTTACACTAGAAAAACTTGTACTCGTAACTTCTCGGTCTCTGAGTTGTAGCAGAGTTTTCATTACCAGGAAAATTAGAAATTTGGAAATGAATGTTCGTAACCGTGGAAAGGTTGCTAGGTTATGTAAGGTTTTCAATCAGAACAGTTATACAGACTGGCTTATATAAACATTAACATACTACAAATTTTAATAAGCTATATTTAATTACGTAATGCATCCTTCATTCTAGATCATCTACTTATCCTTATTCTTGTTTTTGTATTATAAATTTGTAGCAATTTGCAGTCTTCAGAGTCTCAATTTTAGTTAAATAACAGCAGATCTATTTAAATTTGTTAACTTGATGTTTAATTATCTTGCAAAAAGCTACTTTCTATAAAAAGTAATTACAGTAGCAAAATATTAAATTTTCTAACTTGAAATTTTTTAATTTGAAAACTTGAGGGTTTGAGAATTTGATGAGTTAAGAAGTTGAAAGTTTGACAATTCATCAATTCATCAATTCATCAATTCATCAATTCATCAATTCATCAATTCATCAACTCATCAACTCATCAATTCATCAATTCATCAATTCATCAATTCATCAATTCATCAATTCATCAATTCATCAATTCATCAATTCATCAATTCATCAATTCATCAATTCATCAATTCATCAATTCATCAATTCATCAATTCATCAATTCATCAATTCATCAATTCATCAATTCATCAATTCATCAATTCATCAATTCATCAATTCATCAATTCATCAATTCATCAATTCATCAATTCATCAATTCATCAATTCATCAATTCATCAATTCATCAATTCATCAATTCATCAATTCATCAATTCATCAATTCATCAATTCATCAATTCATCAATTCATCAATTCATCAATTCATCAATTCATCAATTCATCAATTCATCAATTCATCAATTCATCAATTCATCAATTCATCAATTCATCAATTCATCAATTCATCAATTCATCAATTCATCAATTCATCAATTCATCAATTCATCAATTCATCAATTCATCAACTCATCAATTCATCAATTCATCAATTCATCAATTCATCAATTTAAAAATATGACAACTCGACACTTTGCCAATTCGACAGCTTGCCAATACACCAATTGGAAATAAATAAAAATACTCACCTTTCAGCAAATATGGCTGCAGATGATTCAACGTCTTCTGAAAGCATATCTCCACTTTTGGATCCGATCTATTGCACGGTAATATGTACTCGGCTGAAAACGAAAAATCTTGAAAGTAAAAGTTCGTAAGATTCGTTCACGATCAATATATAAGATACACCTAACTCCTTGATATTTTGCATAAAGTCACGCGATTTGATTTTTCAAATGTCTTCCCGTTTCCGGTGCCTTTATGCAACCACTCTCACTTCCGATGACCTCACAAAATTAATCTAATTTTAATACTTTTCCGTCCTAGTTTTAACTGTAATTACTGGGTAATTACTGACACTTACAATTTTAATTTTATTCGTTACAGTCAAGGTATCAATTATTAATATTAAATTATTTCATACTTTTTATGAATGAAATATTATCTCTTGCTATAATAATATCATTTATTATAATATAAAATAATTTACTGCAAATTAATTTTGAGTTTTTATTATGAAATTTTGTTCTAATTGTTTGTTGCTTGTTTTTTGATTCATTGGGTTTAATTAGTTAGTGTGGTAATCAAGATTTTAATTAGTGTCTTGTGTTTATTATTTCATTAACTAATAGTGTATTAATTAGTGTGTAAATGAGACAACATTGTTACTATATTATTATTTTAAAAAATTCTTTCATGTGTTGTAATAATTTTCTAATCTTTCATTCATTACCATAATTAAGATAATAATCAGTTACATTCATTATATTACATTAATTATTACGTCTATGAATGAAAAATTATTATATCTCGTTACATCATATTTTATAATAATTTACCTCACTTGTAACAATTCTAAAAATTTCACCACAAAATTTGTTGCAACATTTTTGATTTTTCTAAACAAAATTTTCCAAAAAAAAAAATTGTGAAATTTTCTTCTGTCAAGTTTTCTTATTACAGTAATAATTTGAAGTATGGGGTGGTTTATGAATAATACTAGAAAGCGACTTCCTACTCTCGAATGTTTTGTCACAACGCAATCCCCGCAAGAACAATCTGTTTAAAGAACAGAGCACTGTTTAACACAGAAAACCGCATTTCTCTCGAGGAATTCCTGAAATCTTCCAATAAGAACCAATCAGGATGATTACCTTGTTACGTCAGCTGAGGAAATTTATGTGGCTCACTTTTCGCTACTTTCTTTTTCCTCGCTACAAAGTCATAGATAATACATAGCTTTCGTGTTCATACATTACATAAAATCACTAAATCGTTGTACGTATTTCTCTAACGAACTTGTGTACTATCTCTTGTTGCAACTTAACCTCAAACTTCAGATATTTACTCTAACTTTGAGGAGGTCTTATTTGAAACTATGGTGATCACATTTACTGACTTGTGTTTCAATTTTAGGTTCATAAAAATTATTACACTATGACATTGTATGAAATTATTAAATTAATACTGTATTTTTTATTAGTAGATTCTTATTCTTATTACTAAAGATTTTTATTAGTAAATCTAGGAACTTTCTTTTGGAACAGTAACTTAAGCTCAAACTTTGAAGAGCTCTAACTTTGAAGTCTCATTTGAAACTATATATAATAATGTTCACATGTACAGTCATGTGTTTAAGTTTTGGATACATAGAAATTATTATACTGTGACATTACATGAAGTTACAAAGTCTATATTGATCTTGGTATCACTAGATTCTATTTTGAGAGTAAACTTATCTAGGAACTTTAAAGCAGCAAATTAACATGTAACTTCAAGTATGTACCCTAACTCTGCAGCAGCATATTTGCAATTATAATGTAATTCACATCTACTCTAACATCTGTGCATTCTAGGTTAATAGGCATCAGAGTGTAAAATTATTTACAGACAGTAAATCACTATGGCACCTTATGTCATCAGATACTACTTCCTCAATTAACTTATCTAAGAACCGAGGATCTGTTAAAATAACAGACTAGTTTAAAACTTCAGTCATCTAGCCTAATTTCTATAGACTAATCCTTAACTGACTATATACATATGATAAAAAGATCACATGTGAGATAATTTATGATGTACAACAGAAATGGCTGCATATGATAGAAATTACATATGACAAAATTGACTACATATGATAGAAATTACATATGACAAAACTGACCACACATGATAGAAATGATTACATATGACAAAAACTGATCACATATGACAAAACTCACATGTGATAGAAATGACTACATATGACAAGAATGTCTCCTTCAAAAGTCACATCAGTAGTATGTCATCATAGGAAAGTATGACAAGACCACGTGTGACAAAGCTAACATACTACATAAATCTCCACATATGACATGAACGTCTTTTTAAGGAGTCACAACAGTGACAGTACATAAAATTATAGGCAAGGTATGACAAGACCACATGTGACTACATATGCCCATATGCTCATAAATGACATGTAGAGTGTCTCTTTCAGAAGTTGTAAGAGTGATAGTATGACATCACAGGAAAGTGTGACTCACATGTGAAAGATCACATGTGATGAAACTGACGACATAAATGTCCACATATGACAAGAACGTCTCTTTTAACAGCCCCAACAGTGATAGTAACAGTGGTATAGTATCATATGAAATATCATATGACTACATATAACAAAGGTGTCCACATATGACATAAATGACCACATATGTCATAAAAGAACGTATAAAACCTAAATGACCATATACGTCAGGTTCTCTCAAAAATCACAAAAGTGTTAGTATGACATTACAGAAAAATATGACAGGCCCACGTACGACATAAATGTCCACATATGACAAGAACATCTGATATGCCTCCATAACACAAATGACCACATGCAACATAAATCTCCACATATGTGAATCTCCTGATGGTCACAACAGTGATAGTATGACATCACAGAAATATATTATAAAACTACATATAACAAAAATGACCACACAGGTCATAAATGTACACATATGACATACGACATAAATATCCACATATGACATACGACATAAATGTCCACATATGACAAAAGTGCCTCCTGATGGCCACAACAGTGATAGAATGACATCACAGAAATATATTATAAGACTACATACAAAAAAAATAATCACATACGACATAAATGTCCACATATGACATACGAAATGAATGTCCACATATGACATACGACATAAATGTCCACATATGACAAGAATATCTCCTGATGGTCAAAACAGTAATAGTATAACATCACAGAAAAATGTTACAAGACTACATACAACAAAAATGACCACACATGATCATAAACGTCCACATATGACAAAAGTGTATCCTTCAAACATCAGAACAGAGATGAATACCTACATCAGTGATATCCTATGATATACTACAATATTATAAGAAGTTGTACAGCAACGAAAAGTTAGGATAGGCATAGTATTATAGGTATCTGGACCACGCGATGCACCTGGAGTCGATTGCGTGTTCGCTTTCACTCGGAATGTGTACATATACACAAAGAGGCGCGTGTTTCGAGGATTGCTTCGTATAAGACCGGCTTCAAGCCTCGACCCGCTACTTTCTCCGACCGATTGCCGTCGATCCTCCAGTTCGTTATGCAATCTCTGACATAACCTTCGCCACACCATCGAGAGCCGTTACGCCATGCCCGTTACCATTATCTTCGACGGTGACCGACGCCGTCGCATAATAGCCGGTGTCTTTCTAGCGTTTCGGTTGGACAACCTTTGAATGTCCATCGGACGATCCCGGAATTCTAACCGCGTTTCTTGCGGTCAAATGGAACCAATTGCGTTAGGATTGCGTTAGGAGATGCAATGTGGAGGTTTGACGTGAAATTGGACGCCTGATTGCGGAATGAGGGAGAGTTAATTTGGGAAATGAGGTTAAATATGAAATATGGAGTTTTTGGTGTTTTGTTGGCCGGGCGAATTGAGGCCGGTTGAGAGGTGCAAGATGGACCAGGTTCGAAGTTTGAGGATTGGGAGGTTTGGTGGTTTGGGGAGTTGAGGAGTTCGAGTTCTGGAGGTTTGGAGATTTGGGGATTTGGAGATTTGGAGATTTGGAGATTTGGAGATTTGGAGATTTGGAGATTTGGAGATTTGGAGATTTGGAGATTTGGAGATTTGGAGATTTGGAGATTTGGAGATTTGGAGATTTGGAGATTTGGAGATTTGGAGATTTGGAGATTTGGAGATTTGGAGATTTGGAGATTTGGAGATTTGGAGATTTGGAGATTTGGGGATTTGAGGATTTGGAGATTTGGAGATTTGGAGATTTGGAGATTTGAGGATTGATTTGGGGATTTGGGGATTTGGGGATTTGGGGATTTGGGGATTTGGGGATTTGGGGATTTGGGGATTTGGGGATTTGGGGATTAGGGGATTTAGAGATTTGGATATTTGAGAATTTGGGGGTTTGGTGATTTCGAGATTTGAGAATTTAGGGATTTGGAGATATGGAGATTTCAGAATTTGGGAATTTGGAGATTTGGAGATTCAGAGATTTGGGCATTTGGAGATTTGGGAATTTGGGGATTTGGTAATTTGGTAATTTAGTAATTTGGTAATTTGGTAATTTGGTAATTTGGTAATTTGGTAATTTGGTAATTGGGGAATATGGAAATTAGGGAATTAGGGAATTAGGGAGTTAGGGAATTAGGGAATGAGGTAATTAGGGAATGAGGGAATTAGGGAATTAGGGAATGAGGGAATGAGGGAATTAGGGAATGAGGGATTTAGGGACTGAGGGAATTAGGGAATGAGGGAATGAGGGAATTAGGGTATTGGGAAATTGGGAAATTGGGAAATTGGGAAATTGAGGAATTGGGAAATTAGAGAATTTAGTAATTTGGTAATTATGTAATTTGGAAGTTTAGCAATTTGGAAGTTTGGAAATTTAAAAATTTGTCAATTTGGAAATATTTAAATTTGAAAATTTGGAAATTTGGGAGTTTGAGAATTTCATAATTTTAGAATTTGGAGATTCAGGAATTTTGAGATTTTTACATTTGAGAATTTGAGTGTTTAGAGATTATGAGACTTGCAAATAGAAAATCATAGTAATTTTTAAAAAATCATAATTTTGAAAATTTATAAACTTACAAAATTAATAGATTTATAGATCTAGAAGTAAAAATTTATACTGAATTAGTTAAGGATCCACTGTTAGTACCTTAAGTGTTACTAAGGGTTTGTATATCACTATCTATTGTTAAAGTTAACCTAACCTATCCTAACCTAACCTAACAACATCAAGATCATTTCAGAATAAATTTGTCATTAATACACATTACATAAATATAAATAATCACAACAAAATACCAATAAATTGCAAAAACAAAAATTTCCAAAGATTCATTTCTAAACTTAACCTAACTTTACCTAACCTAACCTAACAACATCAAGATCATTTCAAAATAAATTTGTCATTAATACACATTACATAAATATAAATAATCACAACCAAATACCAATAAATTACAAAAACAAAAATTTCCAAAAATTCATTTCTAAACTTAACCTAACTTTACCTAACCTAACCTAACAACATCAAGATCATTTCAAAATAAATTTGTCATTAATACACATTACATAAATATAAACAATCACAACCAAATACCAATAAATTGCAAAAACAAAAATTTCCAAAAATTCATGTCTAAACTTAACCTAACTTTACCTAACCTAACATCAAGAAGATTTCCAAATAAATTTATTAAATTTACTAATATACATTATATAAATATAAACAATCACAACCAAATAACAATAAATTGCAAAGACATTACCAAATATTTATTACGAAACAAAACCGATTTAACAATGTGTTCCATCGATTTCATCATTGGTAAGCTTCATACGCCACGACAGTCTATAATTTAAAAAGTTATTGCGCTATTCTTCGATCGGTATTCATTTCATTTATGCCGGTCGCATCGTCGGCTATCATTTACGATTATTTAAACGATTCTGTCTGTCAAGTGAAATAACGTTCGAGGTGGTCTACAATTCTACTGTTCGTTTTAATTCAACGGAAAACGAGAATGGTAGAATACGCTTCCGTGATATAATCGTTTCCCACAATTACCATAGACGAAAAAAGAGAAAGGCAGATACGCTCAATGGTCGTACAAGGAAAATACTAGGAATAATTTAGCTATCGAGTAAACTCATTGTTACGTGTGCTGACCGGCTTGGGTTTATCTAGGAAAAAGATGATTCGGGTTATGTGATTTGTGTTTTGGGGGGAAGTTTTGAGGATTTGGGAATTGTGGAGGTTTTGGAGTGTTTGGGGAATTTTGGGGAAATTGGAGAAATTAGAGAAATTGGGGATTGGGGTAGGTGGGAAATTTGAGACTTTGAGAAATTAGAAAATTTGGAGAATTTTGGAATTTGAGAAAATTTGAAGGTTTGGAGATTTGAGAATTTGGGGATTTGGGGAATTCAGAATTTGGAGATTTAGAGATTTGGGAAATTTGAAAATTTGGAGAATTTTGGGATTAGGGAAAATTTGAGGATTTGGAGATTTGGAGAGTTTTGGGATTTAAGATTTTGGAGATTTAGAGATTTGGGAAATTTTGGGATTTGGGAAAATTTGAGGATTTGGAGATTTGAGAAATTGGGGATTTAAGAATTTGGAGATTTGAGAAATTTGGAATTTAGGAATTTTTGCAATTTTGCAATTTTGGAATTTGGAGATTTAAGAATTTTGGGGATTTAGAGATTTGGGGATTCAGGGTTTTGAAGATTTGGGTATTTGGGAATTTGAGAATTTGGGAATTTGGGAATTTGGAAATTTGGGAATTTGGGAATTTGGAAATTTGGAAATTTGGTAGTTTGATAATTTGGTAATTTGGTAATTGGGGAATTGGAGTATTGGGGAATTAGGGAATTGGAGAATTGGGGAATTGGGGAATTGGGAATTGTGGCATTAGAAAATTTAGTAATTGGGTAATTGTGTAATTTGGAAGTTTAAGAATTTGGTTATTTGGAAATTTAGAATTTTGGAAATTAGGAAGTTTGGAAATTTAGAATTTTTGAAATTTGAGAATTGGAATATTTGAGAATTTGAGAATTTGAAAATTTGTTAATTTGAAAATTTAGAATTTTGGAAATTTGAGAATTAGAAAATTTGAAAATTTGAGAATTTGAGAATTTGAAAATTTGTCAATTTAAAAATTTATCAATTTGAAAATTTGTCAATTTGTCAACTTAAAAATCCAAGAATTAAAAAATTCATAATTCTTAACATCACTCAAATAACATAAAAAAGTATGAATTAATAATAATTGAATTTCTAAAGCACATAATAAACTTAATAAAAAAAAAACACAATTTGAATTAATTAAGTCAATTATAATATAATAAATCGCACAATCAATGCATAATTATTCTATTATAATGTTAAACAGCATGATCTTGAACGATTTCTGTAAATTCACTTATAAATTAAAATTCTTGATGATATCTTTTTCAACTTGTTCCACTACCCGATATAAATTATTCAATAGCATTTAAATGAAATCGAACCTTCAAAAGAATTTGTTTATACAAAATTTCGATGTTCTTGCTAGTTTAAAATGTCTGTCATTAAATTTTTGCAACGAGCACTCGTTTCTCGAGGACGTACATGTCTCAATAAAATGCGTTCACACTTTGCATATTAATAACAAAGATGAGTAATGAATGGAACATGATTAAAATTATTAGACGAAGTTGATGTTTATAATTGTTAGTTTAAATATATTTAATGATATTTTAATTTTATTTAATATTGTTATTTTTCATTTTCAATTTTCAATATTATTGTTTTTAATTTTTAATTTTTAATTTTTAATATTATTAATTTTAATTTTTCAGTTTTAATATTATTTAATGGTAATATATTTAATATTATTTTGCTTGTTGTATTGGTTAATTTATAAATCTTATATTCACTTGAATAAACAATTTTATTTTTTAAATTAAATTCAGGTATAGAAATTAATTTTGCTATAGTAATCTTGCTGAATAATTTAATATATTAATTTAATTCAGTAAACTATTTTAATTCATTAAAATTCTTGTTCAAAAATTTTGTAGTAATTTTGAAGAATAATAATATTCTTTCTAATTAATAATTTTTAAATTGCAATACAAAAGTATTTCATTTATTAAATTTATTATAATATGTACAATTTTTATTAATAAAATTGAAAATAGTTTATAAACATTCTATTTGTTAAATTGACTGTAATGTACAAAAATTTTAATAACAAAATATTAATTAGTATGTATAAACATATTTTATCTGTTAACTCATGTGACAACAAAGTGTGTACACATTTATTGCGACACTCTGTCCACATATTGTTATGAACAACTCTGTTGTTACTAGACTGTGCTACTAGATAAGAAGGAAATTGAATAACACAATAATTATTCCGTGTGATTACTATTCATCATCGAACTTCATCACATGTCACATGTAGGTAAACTTGAAGAAAATGAGTGTTGAACGATGGAACCTTCAAGAAACCTGAGTGGTTGCATAATGGTACTTGCATCAATCTGGTGTCACTATCATGTGTAGACTACATTATGTCAATTATTTTACTACAAGGCTAATTTTTCTTTAATAATATAAGTTAGATTAAACATAACCTTCTTTTGGAAATATAAACAAGGTTCAACCTAACCTTCCTTCAATAGTAAAGACTAGGTTATATCTAACTGTACTTTAAGTACAAAGACTAGGTTACACCTAACCTTCCTTTATTAATAAAGACTTGGTTATACTTAACCTTCCTTTAATAGTAAAGACTAGGTTATATCTAACTTTAATTTAATAATATAAGCTGATTGAATCTGACATTGATTTGATAATATAAGGTAGGTTAAACTTAACCTTACCTTAATATTAAAAGCTAAATTTATTTAAAAATAGTAAGCTTAATTAAACCTAATCTTTCTTTTAAAATATAAAGTGAATTAAACCTAACCTTTCTTTAATGAAAACCAGGTTAAATCTAACCTCATCTTAATGTCACGAACTGAACCTAACCACATTTTGTTATTAAAAGCTAGTGAAACCTAACCTCATTTCGTTATTAAAAGCTAGTGAAACCTAACCTCATTTCATTATTAAAAGCTAGTGAAACCTAACCTTGCTGCAATTGAATAATCTGAATTAAGTATACATTATTAAACTAAGGTTAGGTGTAATATAATTTGTATTAGTCAAGTAAGGTTAGTACAGTTATCTCAAGATTAAGATCAACCTAACCTTCTGAACAGCTTAGTTTTAATTTACATTATCAAAATAATATTATTTAATATTAATTTTGAGTACTAAAATCTTTTATAAAATTATTTATTATGTATTTTCACTCTAACCTAACCTTTAAATAACAATTATGAGTCACTACCACAATTTTAAATTTAAATAATCCATTTAAATATTCGAGTTTAATAGTTCATTTAACTATTCAATTTTAACTTTAACATTAAACCCAACACTAACTTCACTATTTAACTTTAACTTCAAAATTAAAATTTTTAAACTTTAAATTTGATACTTAAGTTTGATAACAACCCTAACCTTAAATATCACTCTACAATACAAATCCTCCCTCCAAAAATAACTACCCCATCAAATATAATAAAACACTTACGAGTTTGGAAGTCAGGTTCATTAATCACAGCATCACTCTTCTGACAGGACACCAGCTCACCAGATAACAATCCAAACAGCACCACACAAGCAATCCTCCCTCCTGGCAGCATCCTGAAGGACATTTCACCTTGGCAGTCCAAACTCCAAAAGTACTCCACCTAACTTCAGCCCTCAAAAGATCCCAACTCTCCCAAACTCTAAAATCTGTCAAAACCCTAAAAATCCCAGTCGACTGTCCTTGAAACTTGAACACTTCTTTCCTTGATTTATGATCAAACACATTTATCCTTGAAATTTTAACTGCGATCTTTGTTCTTCCAAATTTCAACTGTGATCTCAGTTTGTTCTTCAAAATTTTAATTATAATTTTCGTTTATTCTTCAAAATTTTAACTGTGATTTCATGCTCCAGGTTCTGATTTTTATCCCTGAAGGTTTAACTCTGGTTTATCCTTGAAATTATGTCAACCTTGATATTATTTTGTCTTCGAAGGTTCACTGGTGAGGACGTCTAGTAGATGACTCCGATTGCATTGTAAAAATAAACAATAAATAAACAGTTAACAATGATTAATTAAGAATTAACCGGTGGTGACTGTGTGGATCGACTCTGGTAAACTAAACACCGTCTCCCTTCATATTCTGTCTTATATGAGAGCGTTCCCCTACCTTCGATGTTGAACCACGAGTTCCCTCTTTCTCTATTTCCACCATTGAAACCGACACTTTGAATCCAACGAATTCGTGGTCGCTTTTGTGGAAATTTACTTTGAGGAACATCTTCGGGGAGCAGGGTCATGGGTGGTCAACACGTATCAAATGTATGCAAACGTATTCAAGTTTTAAAAATGATGAAGCACTGTCTAATAGACAAGTTCTATTTACTGTATCTATTATAATATCAATAATAATAATAGGAATTAATTTATAAGTTATATAAATGAGTTTGTAATAACAGTTATATAAATAAATTTTTATAAAGTAAACTTGCAATAATAATTATATAAATAAATTTTTATAAAGCAAACGTGCAATAATAATTATATGAATAAATTTTTCTCAAGTAAATTTGTAATAACAGTTATAGAAATAAATTTATATAAATTAAATTTGTAAGAACAGTTATGTAAATAAATTTTTGTAAAATAAATTTGTAAAGACAATTATATAAATAAATTTTTATAAAATAAGTTTGTAATAATGGTCGCATAAATAAATTTATATGAATTCAATTTGCAAGAATATTTATGTAAATAAATTTTTATAAAATAAATTTGTAAAGACAATTATATAAATAAATTTTTGTAAAATAAGTTTGTAGTAATAGTTGCATAAATAAATTTTTATAAAGTGAATTTGTAACAATAATTATATAAATGAATTTTTATAAAATAAATTTGTAATAACAGTTATTCTAAATAAATTTTTCTGAAGTAAATTTGTAATAGCAAAAGTTATACTGTTTATTATTAGAAAAAGTGAGATATTGAATTTGGAAAATAAATTTATTAAGTTTATTTATGTAGGTTTGTATTTAATTGATATTAGCTTCAAGGATTTTTTATTGTGAAAGTATGGAGATGAATTAATTATGGGACAAGTTTTGGTAAATGGTGAATTTTGAAGCTGGAAATTTACAAGGGGAATGAAATTTATAAACTTGAAAACAGTTTAGAGAATCAGAAATTTAGAATTGGATATATGAACAATATTAGTGAAAATTGAAGAATTGAAGAATTGAAGAATTGAAGAATTGAAGAATTGAAGAATTGAAGAAATGAGGAATTGAAGAATTGAAGAATTGAAAACTTGCAAAGTGGGGAACTTGATAATTTGGAAACTTGATATCTTGGAAACTTGAGAACTTGGAAACTTGATATCTTGGAAATTTGATATCTTGAAGAACATAGAAATTTGGAAATTTAGATATTCGGGGACTTGGGAATTTTGGGACTTGGAAATTTGAGAACATAGGAATTTGGGAATTTAGATATTTGGGGACTTGGGAATTTAAGAACTTGGGAACTTGAAAACTTGGGAACTTGGGAACTTGAGAACTTGGGAACTTGAGAACTTGAGAACTTGAGAACTTGAGAACTTGGGAACTTGAGAACTTTGAAACTTGGGAACTTGGGAACTTGGAAACTTGAGAGCTTGGAAACTTGAAAACTTGAGAATTTGGGAACTTGAGAACTTGGGAACTTGGGAACTTGGGAACTTGGGAGCTTGAGAACTTTGGAACTTGGGAACTTGAGAACTGTGAAACTTGAGAACTTGGGAACTTGAGATCTTTGAAACTTGGGAACTTGGGAACTTGGAAACTTGAGAGCTTGGAAACTTGAAAACTTGAGAATTTGGGAACTTGGGAACTTGGGAACTTGGGAACTTGGGAACTTGGGAACTTGGGAACTTGGGAACTTGGGAACTTGGGAACTTGGGAACTTGGGAACTTGGGAACTTGGGAACTTGGGAACTTGGGAACTTGGGAACTTGGGAACTTGGGAACTTGGGAACTTGGGAACTTGGGAACTTGGGAGCTTGAGAACTTGGGAACTTGAGAACTTTGAAACTTGAGAACTTTGAAACTTGAGAACTTTGAAACTTGAGAACTTGGAAACTTGAGAACTTGAGAACTTGAAAACTTGAAAGCTTGAAAAATTAAAAATTTACTAAAGTGAAAATTTTCAACTAAAAAATTTACCAACTTGAAAATTTAGAAGCACCCAAAATTTGTCAATAAATTTCTTAATTTTGATAATTCCCCACCCCAAAAATTTCAACTTTGAACCATTATCCTAATACCTCCGTAATACTTGAATACTACAATCGTCCAAAAGAGGTACAAAAGTGTTAAAGTAGGCTGAAAGCAATCACGATTGTATAATAGCCGAAGTACACACTAAAAGACTGAAAGAATATAATGAACCACAGAAAAACGTACGCGTAGCTTCCAATGAATAGCGTTCTTTGCGTAACACCGGTTTTAGTTTATTGCGAGAATTCTAGTATAATACATCATCAAAACAAGCCATTACGAGTGCTATAGTGACATCAGACGCATTGTGAGACCATGAAGATCTTGTTTATTATGAAATTGTCATTTTGTTCTGCGTGTTTTCCATTCTCATATTTTACTTACATGATTTTTCTAAGTAACAGCAAGTTTCTTTTGTGAACATAGATTTTAGAGATAATTGTATGTTGTGAATTAGTATTATTGTGGATTAGTATTGGTTATAATTTTTGCAAAAATTAGATTGAATTGTTTATACAAATTCAGTTGCAATTATTTAGGAATTTCATTAAATTTTAACTCGTAATTTTTCAAATGTTTGTCAAATTAAAATTTAAATCTAACAATGTTTTAATGCATTTAAGTTAATTAGTAAAAATTCTAAATTTTGTTAAATTTAAATTATTTAAAAATGCCAAATTTGCAGTCAAATTATTTAGTAAAAATGCCAAATTTTAATATACTTAAATGATTTAGTAGAAATTCTAAATTTTGTTAAATTTGAATTATTTAAAAATGCCAAATTTGCAGTCAAATTATTTAGTAAAAATGCCAAATTTTAATATACTTAAATTATTTAGTAGAAATTCTAAATTTTGATAAATTTAAATTATTTAAAAATGCCAAATTTTAATATATTTAAAATTAAATATATAGACTATTTGAAAAGTTAAGGCAGATTAGTAACAAACGCAGTAATTACATTATGCAGAAATTTATTTATTCTCACACTGGATCGTCGGACGATATTAATAGACAATAACAGTAAGTCACGATTTTCTGTTCATTGCATAGTTGACCATGAATTTTTAATACCACATTGTCTTTTCGAATTCGACCTTGATGGACATCGTGAGATGCATACGAGACAAATTACTCGGAAATAGGCAATGAAGAAAGCTGTAGTTTACACATTTCTATTTTATTGTCTCCAAACGTGTGCCTCATTCTATTCAAAACAACAATGTTCTTTAGTACATGCACAATTTTAAATGTATAATGTTAAATGTACAATTTTAAATGAATTATGCTAAGTGTGCGGTAGTAGATGTACAAGTTTAAAAGTACAATTTTAAAAGTATAATTTTAAATGTACAATTTTAAATGAATAATGCTAAAAGTGCAATAGTAGATGTACAACTTTAAAAGTACAATTTTAAAAGTACAATTTTAAATGTACAATATTAAATGTACAATTTTAGATGAATAATGTTAAATGTACAATATTAAATGTACAATTTTAGATGAATTATGTTAAATGTGCAATAATAAATGAACAACATTAAAAATACAATTATAAAAATTCAATTTTAAATGTACAATATTAAATGTACAATTTTAGATGAATAATGTTAAATGTACAATATTAAATGTACAATTTTAGATGAATAATATTAAATATGCAATAGTAAATGAATAACATTAAAAATACAATTTTAAAAATTCAATTTTAAATGTACAATATTAAATGTACAATATTAAGTATACCATTTTAAATATTCAATGTTATATGTACAATATTAATTATATAATTTTTAATGTACAATTTTAAATATTCAATTTTAAATGTATAATTTTAAATATTCAATTTTAAATGTTCAATTTTAAATGTTCAATTTTAAATGTTCAATTTTAAATGTACAATTTTAATTATTGATTTTTAAATGTACAATTTTAGTAGTATAATGTAAAGTATACATTGTAGAATGTTTAATGCGAAACGTTTTGAAGAATACCAAACTTCCTGTGTCCACTGCATGTTTCCCAGAAAAAAGGAAATAAGATATTTGTGATTCTGGTCGATTGTTTGAGCACCTTGAGACTTTCATGTTTCACAGCGTTTGGAGAAATCCCAAAACAGAATATTGCCCAATTTATGGATGACGAGTGATCGAGACTTCTGTCGACATCGTCGTCACATGATTGAATCTTTAATTTATATGGCTTTCTAACATCTTGTGAAGATTAAGAACATTTGATGGAACTGAAATTTAAGAATGAACATAGTATTTCTATGCATCATTCAGACATTTTTATTTTAGTTTTTATTTTTTTATTTTTATAGAGTTACAGAAAATATTGCAAAGATATTGAAAAATTGATTTCTTGGTAGTTCTGAAATTTTTAGAATAATAATTTGGTAATATTAATGTTAGATTATGGTTACGTTAAATTGAAGTTTAGGGTAAGGTTAAGGTTAACTTAAGGTTAGGTTAATGTTAGGTTAATGTCAGATCAAAGTTAGGTTAATGTTAGGTTAGTGTTAGATCAAGGTTAGGTCAATGTTGGGCTAATGTTAGAACAAGGTTAGGTTAATGTTAGATCAAGGTTAGGTCAATGTTAGGCTAATGTTAGATCAAGGTTAGGTCAAGGTTAGGTTAATGTTAGATCAAGGTCAGGTCAATGTTAGTTTAATGTTAGATCAAGATTAGGGCAAGGTTAGGCCAAGATTAGGTTAACGTTAGGTCAAGGTTAGATCAAAGTTAGGTCAGTGTGAGGTTAATGTTAGATCAAGTTTAGGGCAAGGTTAGGCCAAGATTAGGTTAATGTTAGGGCAAAGCTAGATCAAGATTAGGTTAATGTTAGAGTAATGTTAGGTTAAGGTTGGATCAAGGTTACATCAATGTTAGATTGGAGTCAGGTAAAGCTTAGGGTATCCATTAACTAAATTAACCATTGTAATTATTAATAATATTTATTCTTCTTATATTTGCAATTATGATAATCACAATAATAATTAATATAAATAATCATTATCTGATACCATAAATTATAATTACCATTACAAAGTTACAATCATGACAGTCACATTAACTACAAGTCATAATTATGCAATGATTATTGCCTTCGACTTAATACGATTTCATTTCTAGTACACACTTTTTAAACATATAATGTCACAGCATAAAAAAATAGTATTACATAAATACAGACTAGAGGTATCAAATAGCCTGCCAATTAATTACGTAACAAATATCGAAATTTTCTGAAGAAATACTCTTTCGTCTAAATGGATTATGTAATCGAGACCTTCGAAAATTTTTGCCGAATTATTCTACTCGTATTTTAATTATTTAGGTTTATTAATTCTTAATGACCCACAAAATGAACAACGCAGTAAGCAACTTTCAGCCATCTTTAATTATTCAGTCAGTGACGCAGAAATGACAGGACGACGCTCTGTCGCTTTTTCCTCGAATGCGTTTTAATTCTGTCTTTCACAACAACATCATTATCATATGGAAAAATTCTGCGGGATTATTATTGCTCATCTCGGAAGCTAATCCTAAAATAATTGCTTCGTTTCGGACTGTAATTTGCTATTTGAACGCGACGGGCATAAATTGTTGCTTAAGACATGGGTAATAATTTATTTCGGGTTATTAAATACAAATTTCTCAGCTATGAAACTGAGATAGTAAGAAGAGTTGTATAATTAATTGTTTTAGATATTAAAGAGAAATTATTTACTTGTTATTTTACATTGTTATTATTATTGTTATTCATTTGTCAAGTAAGTTTATTTACCTGTTATTTAATTCATATTTTATAAATTAATAACTTGTCAGTTAATTTAGTTGCTATTTAAATTACTTTATATTAATTAATTTGTATAACTTAATAATTTGCAATTTTATTTATAAATAAATAAATGGTTGCTGTTTAATTTTAAATCATATTATAATTACTAGAAATTGGCAAACAATTGATATAAATTTAATCAGGTATTCAAAATGTAGAAAGTTGCGCCTGTAATATGATACTCCACCTTGTATCAGCAGAAAGCGGTTGTCATTCACTAGGAGTACAGTAAACTGAAATTTCTGACAAGATGTAAATATTATTCTACTAAAATAACAACTAATGTCCAATATATTTGTTTCTACAAATGAAGGATTCGAAATTTCGAAGTTCTGAAGTATTGTAGTTTCAAAATTTTAAAACTCTGCAAAGTTCAAAAATCCCACAGTTCCAAACTTGTAAAGTCCCATTATTCCACAATCCCAAACTTGCAAAGCCCCAAAATTCCAAAGTCTCAAACTTGCATGGTCCCAGACTTCCAAAGTCCCAAACTTGTAAAGTCCCAAACTTGCAAGGTCCCAAAATTCCAAAGTCCCAAACTTGCAAGGTCCCAAAATTCCAAAATCCCAAACTTGTAAAGTCCCAAACTTGCAAGGTCCCAAAATTCCAAAGTCCCAAACTTGTGAAGTCCCAATATTCCAAAGTCCCAAACTTGCAAAGCCCCAAACTTCCAAGGTCCCAAAATTCCAAAATCCCAAACTTGTGAAGTCCCAATATTCCAAAACCCCAAATTTGCAATGTCCCAAACTTGAAAATCCCTAAATCAAAAAATTCTTAGATCCCAAAATTTCAAGGTCCCAAAATTCCAAAATCCCAAACTTGTGAAGTCCCAATATTCCAAAGTCCCAATATTTCAAAGTCCCAAATTTCCAAAGTCCCAATCCAAAATTTTAAACTTCCAAGTTTGATCATCGTACAACCCTAATACTTGAAAGTGGTGTACTGTCAATGTCTCATGAGTCCCATAAGTCCCATAAGTCTCATAAGTCCCATAAGTCCCCTAAGTCCCATAAGTCCCAAAACTCCACCTTCCCAAAATCCCACACAAAGCACACTCCCCCAAAACCCAAATACAATCACCAACACAATTATCTCTCCCCAATCTTTATTTCTCCAAAAACATACACAACTTCAACAAAAATACAAAATATCCTAACCTAACCCTAACTCCATATCATCACTCCTCAAACTACAATAAATATAAAAACAACTACATCAAGGTGGCAATAATACATCCTCAGGAAACACAGCAAAAATATTGTTCATAAAATTTTTAATCAATTCTCCTATAGTTTCTTCAAGTTTCGGTTTAATCTCCGCTACGACTGTTCTCCAATTGTGGTTCAAAAATAAATTCATAGCGCTGGACATAGTGGTTTCACCACCGAATAAATTGTCAAGGTGTACAGCTGCATATCCTATGTCAAAATCCACGTAAATGTCGACTATTCTTTGATGAAGCAATTGAGTTTGTTGATTTGTGTAACGCTCCATTTGTAAGGTTAAGATGGCGTCGATGTTCGTGAAGTTTCCGTGTCCTGTACCGTTTCCTTTGATCGGGAGCATCATTATCTTGCCGTCGAGGTTGTAATTGAATGTCATCTCGAAGCTTGGGATGTGTAGTTTTAAGCGCATTCGGTTTTTGTCGAAGTCTAATCTGGGGATGAGAGATTTATTTGTTAGAGAGAGTTTATTGTAATATTTATTAGGTTAGGTTAAGGAGAATTTATTGTAATATTTGTTAGGTTAGGTTAGGAGAAATTTAGAGTAATATTTGTTAGGTTAGGTTAGGAGAAATTTAGAGTAATATTTGTTAGGTTAGATTAAGGAACATTTATTGTAATATTTGTTAGGTTAGGAGAAATTTAGAGTAATATTTGTTAGGGTAGGTTAGGAAGAATTTAGTGCAATATTTATTAGGTTAGGTTAAGGAGAATTTATTGTAATATTTGCTAGGTTAGGAGAAATTTAGAGTAATATTTGTTAGGTTAGGAGAAATTTAGAGTAATATTTGTTAGGTTAGGTTAGGAAAAATTTAGTGTAATATTTGTTAGGTTAAGTTGGGAAGAATTTACGGTAATATTTGTTAGGTCATTAGAGGAAGAATTTATAGCAGTATTTTATAGGTTAGGTTAGGAAGAATTTATGGTAATATTTGTTAGGTAATGTTAGGTAAAATTTATAGTAATTTTATAAATAAAGAATTTGTAAATTTGACAATTTGAAAAATAAAAATTTGCAAACTTGACAATTCTTGATTTCCAAACTTACAAAATTTGACATTTTGAGAATTTAACACTTGAAAAAGTCGACAATTTGATAATTGAAAATTTGCAAACTTCACACTTTCAAAATTAGGACTTCAGAAAACTTGACATATAAAAAATTTGTAATTTAGAAAATTTGACAATACAAAAATTTAAAACTTACAAAACTTGACAGTTTAGAAATTTAAAATTTACAAAGCTTGAAAATCCAAAAATTTAAAATTAAGAAAACTTGCCAACTTAGAAAATTAAAAAATTAAAAAATGTATCAACAGTATAATTGTTGAAATATAAAAAACTTACTTGATGGTTTTGGTTACTATATTGGTCCCTCCATAAATGGAGACATTCTTATAATTCGCACGAACGTAAATCGGCCCAGAGCATTGATCGATTTCTATATTATCCAAATGTAGAGGATCACACGGTGGTACATGAAGCTGTGGAATTCCATTTCTCAAATACGGCTTCAACAAATTGATACTTTGCTTTATACAATCGCTCAGATGTGGATCGCTCCGGTGACACGTCTTCAAAAACGATGCTGCAATTTTAATAACAATTAAACAAAAATAATTACACTTCTTATTTATTTTTCAAACTTTCTTAATAACATCCTTTTCTTTGAAACTTTCCATAAAAAGAAATCAAAATCACAAAATAAACATCTCTATTTTGCGAATTAAAAATAAAAAATGTAAGCAACTTATTCAGTTTAAATATATTCATAAATATATGATTTTTAATTATAATGAAATTTTTTTTGTATTAATAATAATTTAGTTTGTTCGTTAATTTTAAGAAATTTAATTTAATTATTCAGTTTTTATGGTTAATTAAAAATACACGAGAAAAATATGAAGAACTAATGTCATGCTTCCACAGTGTTACTTTGTTAATTATCTAATGTAATTATTCAATTTTCATGGTTAATTGAGAATGTACGTGTAAAAATGTTGGGAATTGAAGTTGGACATGCTTGTACAGTAAACCTGAATGCTTTAAATGTTCATTGCATGATTTCTGTGCGATTCATCGTGAATTAAATGTGCATGCTCCAGATGCGACGCTCAGGTTTATACACCGGGTGTCCGAAAAGTACATAACTAAATTTTTCTAACTGTTCAAAGAAAAACTAAATTTTTCCAATTTACAGAATTAATTGTGAACGTAATTTTTCGTGGATATAAATATCATATTGTTTAATTTTTTTTTAGTTCAAATTATGGTTAAATAATATTTAAATTTTAACCAAGAAAAGACTTATTATTATCAATATTAAATATTAAAATAATATTGTGAGTGTATAACTATCCGTATAATTTTCAATGAAATTGTAAAATTATGTTTTCAATGAAATTTTCAAAGAAATTGTAAAATTATATTTTCAATGAAATTTTTAAAGAAATTGTAAAATAATATAGTAAATAAAAAATGAGAAAATGTACTCACGAATTTCTGGAACAGGCGAAGCAGAAGAAGAGAAGACACAGAAAAGGAATAATAACAATTTTTGGATCTTCATTGTTGCTACAAGAAGGTCCGAATACGAAATAAATTCGTTTGTCATCGAATATTGCGTACGTTTCATCGAACGATAATGTGCTGACATTGTTATTTCTATTTCACTTCCACTTCCTTTTAGAGATTTCACAACTCTTTGAATCTATATTTGCAATCACTTTGATCATCACATTTTTATCGATCGAGTTCAACATTACCTTATTAAAATTGATGTTCTTAATTAAATATTAATTACAAAACATTCATTCATAATTGTAAACTATTTTTAATTCAACAAATTTTATTTTGCTTTTTTTTTATGAAGCATAATGTATTATATCATATGCATTTTTTAAAAATGAAATAACAATGATGGATTGCACATAGAAAATATATATAATACAATAGAATCAGTATAATATATAAAAAAGTACATCATTACACAATAAATGCAATATACGAAGGTACATAATTATGCAATATATGAAAAAAAATAAATGCAGTTTACAAAGGTACATAATTATGCAATATATAAAAAAACAAATTGATACTTTGCTTTATACAATCGCTCAGATGTGGATCGCTCCGGTGACACGTCTTCAAAAACGATGCTGCAATTTTAATAACAATTAAACAAAAATAATTACACTTCTTATTTATTTTTCAAACTTTCTTAATAACATCCTTTTCTTTGAAACTTTCCATAAAAAGAAATCAAAATCACAAAATAAACATCTCTATTTTGCGAATTAAAAATAAAAAATGTAAGCAACTTATTCAGTTTAAATATATTCATAAATATATGATTTTTAATTATAATGAAATTTTTTTTGTATTAATAATAATTTAGTTTGTTCGTTAATTTTAAGAAATTTAATTTAATTATTCAGTTTTTATGGTTAATTAAAAATACACGAGAAAAATATGAAGAACTAATGTCATGCTTCCACAGTGTTACTTTGTTAATTATCTAATGTAATTATTCAATTTTCATGGTTAATTGAGAATGTACGTGTAAAAATGTTGGGAATTGAAGTTGGACATGCTTGTACAGTAAACCTGAATGCTTTAAATGTTCATTGCATGATTTCTGTGCGATTCATCGTGAATTAAATGTGCATGCTCCAGATGCGACGCTCAGGTTTATACACCGGGTGTCCGAAAAGTACATAACTAAATTTTTCTAACTGTTCAAAGAAAAACTAAATTTTTCCAATTTACAGAATTAATTGTGAACGTAATTTTTCGTGGATATAAATATCATATTGTTTAATTTTTTTTTAGTTCAAATTATGGTTAAATAATATTTAAATTTTAACCAAGAAAAGACTTATTATTATCAATATTAAATATTAAAATAATATTGTGAGTGTATAACTATCCGTATAATTTTCAATGAAATTGTAAAATTATGTTTTCAATGAAATTTTCAAAGAAATTGTAAAATTATATTTTCAATGAAATTTTTAAAGAAATTGTAAAATAATATAGTAAATAAAAAATGAGAAAATGTACTCACGAATTTCTGGAACAGGCGAAGCAGAAGAAGAGAAGACACAGAAAAGGAATAATAACAATTTTTGGATCTTCATTGTTGCTACAAGAAGGTCCGAATACGAAATAAATTCGTTTGTCATCGAATATTGCGTACGTTTCATCGAACGATAATGTGCTGACATTGTTATTTCTATTTCACTTCCACTTCCTTTTAGAGATTTCACAACTCTTTGAATCTATATTTGCAATCACTTTGATCATCACATTTTTATCGATCGAGTTCAACATTACCTTATTAAAATTGATGTTCTTAATTAAATATTAATTACAAAACATTCATTCATAATTGTAAACTATTTTTAATTCAACAAATTTTATTTTGCTTTTTTTTTATGAAGCATAATGTATTATATCATATGCATTTTTTAAAAATGAAATAACAATGATGGATTGCACATAGAAAATATATATAATACAATAGAATCAGTATAATATATAAAAAAGTACATCATTACACAATAAATGCAATATACGAAGGTACATAATTATGCAATATATCAAAAAAAATAAATGCAATATGTGAAGGTACATAATTATGCAATATACAAAGATACATAATTATGCAATATATAAAAAGAGCATAAATACGCAATATAATAAATTGAATATACATTGCGCTAATAACATCCCAATAATAAAAATAATATTACAATAACTTAAATTAATGATATAATTCAAAATAAACTAAAACTTATCAAACATCACATATGTACAACAAACACGAATCTCCACCATAAACGTCAGAAATAAAAATAAAATGCCAATCCAGATCTTATCGATCCACACCTCGTTCCCCATTAAACAAAGATGCAGAACTCGCGTACCCGCGGCGATGTACATTTAAGAACATCCATTACGTAACTCCGAACAACTAAGGCTTTACTACAAACTTAACATATACTATTTGCGGCTGCGTCCCATCACTTAAGGTCGGAAGGACCTTGCCCCGTATACGCTCGCAACGGGAGCGCGGATTAAGAGGACAATGTCTAAGGAAGAAGAAAGAGTACCAACTAGAGAGATCACCTAGATGATGCACGTCAAGAATCTCTGGTCCATGGCCCAGATACTGCGTCCTTCCACGGAGACGTATAAAAACCGCACCTGCTCGCGAACGACACTTTTGCTCGACCACTCCGATCGTTTGAAACCGATGATCCTTCGACTCGATCATCCTGGAACACGAAATCGTTCGTCTTGACAAACGAGTGTTTATGTGCATCGCGGTCTTCTGTTTTCTGCTGGTCTTCATCGTGGTTACTATCATCGTGCTGCTATTTGTCAAGCCCGTCTACTTCTGGCAGGTCCAAACTGAGTGAAGTGTCCATTCTGAATCATCTTCATCCTCAACTTCATCGACCTCTGGGTCTGACACCTTGAAGACAGTGGCTAGCAATTACCTGTGTAGTTAGCTGTGTCTCAAGATGAAACTCAGCACCCTATACCTAGTCTACACCCTCCTGGGTCTAATAGTCCTAGCCAACAGCCAGGGCACCCTGCTAGAGATGTCCCAGCAGATGTGGACCAAGCTGCTAACCGGTGGTTTCTCCAAAACGGGTAAACTGGATCCCTTAAAGGTCCCTGTGATCAAGGTCGACCAGTCCGAAGGCGACACCAGTTATCGGATCATCCTCAGGAACGTGGAGATCGGAGGTCTGAATAAATCCACCCTAGAAAGCATCCACATAGCGCGAGGTCGGTTGAAGTCTAACCTGAGCGAGGTGGAGGCTGGTTATGTAAGCTACAGTGATCTCCGGGACCTGGACTCCATTAGGTACCGATTCCACACGTTGATCAAGGAGCCCAAGGTGCAGAACGAGAGCTTTGAGGCTATAGTCTCTGCCAGCGACCAGCACAGCAGGTTCATGTCGGCGCCTCGAGAGCAGGAGAAGAGTTTTGAGCGTTTGCGACAGTATGATCCGTTTTTGATGAAGATACAAGCGGACAAGATGAGGGAAGCGCCTAAAAGTGAGCAAAAGAGTCAGGATTCTGGGGTGTTCAGCATGGACAGCGCTAAGGTGGTGATGAAGGACCAGATTGTGGAGAATATTAGATACCCTAGCGATGTTCAGATGATCTATGCGATGAGCGCTTTGAACGCTGGACTGAATCCGACCTATGAACAGAAGTACCAGGGTAGAGCTGGGTCCGAGAGACGAGAGGACCCTAGGGAGAACCAGAGAAGAGGTTATGTGAATGGTAGAACCGAAGCGAGGTTCGATGATGTACAGACCTCGGCTTCGGAGAATGTGGAGAGCAGGGTTAGAGGCAGTCAGAGGTTCCCTGCTTATGTTAGGGAACAGGCTCCTCAGGACACGAGGCTGGAGAAGCAGCCGGGGTACATTGATATCGTTTATGCTGACGGGGAACATCATGGAGGCGTGAAGCGGTTTGGGAATGGGAGGATCGAGTCTAAGGAGGGTACACAGGTGTTTGGAATGAAGGATGTGGCCAAGGTAGGTTTCTTGGAGGTGAAGGCTTATGGCTAGCGTAAGAGGTTGACAAGTTCTATCAAGGTTGAAATGTGATATTTTTAGATGGTAGCTTGTTAGACTCATTTTTAGGTCAGATAGTTAGGTTAGCTAGTTGTAATCAGCTAGTTGTGGTTAGCTAGTTGTGGATAGCTAGTAATTATCACATTAGCTAAGTTCAGGATAGTTTTGGGCAATTCTTGTTGGAATACATATCATGACACAGTAGCAGGATGCAATAGTTCATCATTCGAGTCTAATGGAGGGTCAAGTGTGAGGAGGGTACCCAGGTGTTCGGAATGAAGGATGTGGACAAGGTAGATTCTTCAAATTTGAAGGCTTATATGAAGGACAGAAGGTGGTTGACAAGTTCTATCAACGTTCAAATGTGATATTTTTAGGCGGTAGCTTGTTAGACTCATTTTTAGGTCAGATAGTTAGGTTAGCTAGTTGTAATCAGCTAGTTGTGGTCAGCTAGTTGTAGACAGCTAGTTGTGATCAGCTAGTTGTAGTCAGCTAGTTGTGATCAGCTAGTTGTGATCAGCTAGTTGTGGACAGTTAGTTATGAACAGCTAGTTGTGGACAGCTAGTTGTGGTCAGCTAGATGTGATCAGCTAGTTGTGGACAGTTAGTTATGAACAGCTAGTTGTGGACAGCTAGTTGTGGACAGCTAGTTGTGGACAGCTAGTTGTGGATAGCTAGTAATTGTCACATTAGCTACGTCCAGATCAGTTTTGGGTGATTCCTGTTAGAATACATATCATGACACAGTAGAAGGATGTAATAATTCATCATTCAGTAAATTTATTTTGCTATTTGTAGATTGGTTTATCTGTCTAAGAGTCAGCTGTTAAGTTCATCAAAGGTAGCTCTCTATCTTTAGGCTATCGGATCTGACTTCAGGTTACTTTTCAATAATCCATGTGATATTAATACATTTTCTAATAGATCCTCCTCATTGCTAAATATCATTCTTCCTTTATTTTCTAACAAAATGGCGTTTAACATAACTCATTATTCAACCATATAACCTGTCCCACAAATATTGTCAGACCTAAAAGTCAGATCTGTCAGACCTGTCAGAGTAAAAGTACTTCTTATGATCACAAATAAATTTGGTTATTCAGTTTTGTTTCTCTCTAACTTTTGCAACAAACTTAATTTGTGACTAGGAAATTCTAGAAGGTAAACGAACCATCACCCACGACTGCACCTCCGGTGAGCCGTTGACGAAGAGAAACGACGCAATCAAGGCTGCCATAAATTCCAACAGCATGAGAAATTTGACTAGGTACGCAAAAGACTATCAGGAAAAACAAGGATACTTCGAGGAAGGAATGCAGCTGCTTTATCATTACGGCGGAAATCCTGTGAATGAAAAAGTTGGCCTTGGAAAGAGATACAAACGTGCGCACAGTGAAAACGAAACTGATGTAGGTACTCTGGTTTCCTTTCAAACAGCAATTATTAATATGATCATTATTGTACTTCAAGGATGATGTGATGCACGTGATCTTGAAAATACGTGTTCCTCAACTTCACATCAAGGCGGATTATCAGTTGACTGGGAAAGTTGGGAAGGAATTGGTGAGAGGAAACGGAAAACTGAATGGCAACTTCAGTAAGGAACTTTTTGCTCTGAAATATTTTAATAAGATACTTTGCATTCTCCAGAGATTTTTTTTTTCTCCAGAGTTTTATGGACCATAGGACTGGGTTTCTTTTAGGATTTGTTTCAATTTTTGTTTGATTCTTGGATCTCAAATTCTGGGATCTAGGATCTCTTCTTTCAAGATTCTTCATTTTTAGGGTTTTCTTAGAATCTACTTTTGGTTCTTCTTAGTATTCATATTAGGATCTACCTATGACTTAATTAGACTTATGACTTATTATTCTTAACATCTACCTATGATCTCCTTAAGACTCTCTTAAGATCTACCTGTGATCTCCTTGAGAATCTCTTAAGATATACCTATGATCTCCTTGAGAATCTCTTAAGATCTACCTATGATCTCTTTGAGAATCTCTTAAGATCTACCTATGATCTCCTTGAGAATCTCTTAAGATCTACCTATGATCTTCTTGAGACTCTCTTAAGATCTACTTATGATTTCCTTCAGACTGTCTTAAAGTCTGCCTATGATATCCTTCAGACTTTGTTAAGATCTACCTATGACCTGCTCAGAATCTTTCCAAAAATCTACCTCTAATTTTCTTAAGATTCCTTTAACATCTACCTATGATCTCCAAACCTTTCTGGGATCTACCTATGATCCCCTTAAGATTTTCCTAGCATCTACCATAGGTAGATGATCTCCTTAGCTTCATGTTATGATCTACCTATGATCTCCATAGAATTCCTCTATCATCCACATAAAATCTCCTTAAGATACCTCTAAAAATCTTGCATCTACCTATAACCTGTTTCATAATCTCTTAAGGTGTACCTATGGCTTGCATAATCTCCTAGGATCTACCTATGACTTGCATAGTCTCCTAACGTCTACCTATGATCTCCTATGGTGACTCTACTCTCTCTTCACTCTTTATGACTCCTCCTAAGATCTTCCTATCGATATCTTCCAATCTGCCAATCTCTTCAGATTCTCCTAGGACCAACATCAAATAAGGAAACATTCTTCTTGACAACTTCCTTCATAATTAGAAAGAGTCTTTCTTGCATACCTTAGCAAAAGTTCAACCGTACCTAACACTCAATTAAACTCAAATGAACCTTGCAGGCGAAGTAACAGGCGACTTCACGATCGAACTAACAAAAGACAAGAGAGAGAACATTTTAATAGTACGCGCCGCCCGAAGTAAATTAAGCGGCAAGAAGGAAAATATCTCCCTACAAGGTATGGACGAGGAAGGACCAGTACAATCGATTCTAAATCACGGTGAGTTCTACGTACACTACGTACACGTTCTACGTAAGTGCATAATTTAAAATAAAAGTCAGAATCACGTGAGTCGCGCCATCTCGTGGGTTGGCATAGGTAGCTTCCATTACGCGTTTGACTACAGTTATAACACCATTATCGCCTACGACAGGATTAAATTCACTCCGATGGAAATTACATGTCGCAGCTTTTCATGAAGGAAATAGCTTGTGAAAAGTAACTCGCAGAATCCGAATGTACAATACTTGCAAGCCGGTTTGTGGTCATTGCGTAAACGTCGTTTCGTCTGTTTCCGTTGCGTCATATGCAGCCGGTGTTCTTCCGTAATTAGCAATCTCCAAAGAGAACGATAGAAACGAGGAATTCCATGGAGAAAAGTCGGTGTCAATCGATACGAAAGTCCCGTTCACGTTGATCAGAATATTACGTAAACAATGCATCGACTGACTTTCGTTTGTTGTTCTTGAAGTACTTGAAGTACTAGATACTAACTATTAAATTAAACTTTAAATACTACATATTAAACTCTCAATTGAACTTGAAATAGTAGGTACTAACTATTAAATTAAACTTGAAGTACTAGATATTAAATACTTAATTAAACTTGAAATACTAGGTACTAACTATTAAATTACACTTGAAGTACTAGATATTAAACACACAATTAAACTTGAAATACAAGGTACTAACTATTAAATTGAACTTGAAATACTAGATATTAAATACTCAATCAAACTTGAAATACTAGGTACTAACTATTAAATTAAGTTTGAAGTACTAGATATTAAATACTTAATTAAACTTGAAATACTAGGTACTAACTATTAAATTAAGTTTGAAGTACTAGATATTAAACACTCAATTAAACTTGAAATACTAGGTACTAACTATTAAATTGAACTTGAAGTACTAGATATTAAATACTTAATCAAACTTGAAATACTAGGTGCTCACTACTAAATTAAACTTTAAGTACTAGATAATAAATACTCAATCAAACTTGAAATACTAGGTACTAACTATTAAATTAAACTTGAAATACTAGATACTAAATATTAAATTAAACTTGAAATACTAGATACTAAATCCTAAATTAAACGTGAAGTACTAAATATTAAATAATAAATTAAACTTAAAGTCCTACATACTAAATACTAAATTAAACTTGCAATACTAGGTACTAAATATTAAATTATTAAACTTGAAATACTCAATGCTAACTATTAAATTAAACTTGCAATTCTAGATACTAAATATTAAATTAAACTTGAAGTCCTATATACTAAATACTAAATTAAACTTGAAATACTAGACACTAAATACTAAATTAAACTTGAAGTACTAAATATTAAATAATAAATTAAACTTAAAGTCCTACATACTAAATACTAAATTAAACTTGCAATACTAGGTACTAAATATTAAATTATTAAACTTGAAATACTCAATGCTAACTATTAAATTAAACTTGCAATTCTAGATACTAAATATTAAATTAAACTTGAAGTCCTATATACTAAATACTAAATTAAACTTGAAATACTAGGTACTAAATATTAAATTATTAAACTTGAAATACTCAATGCTAACTATTAAATTAAACTTGCAATTCTAGATACTAAATATTAAATTAAACTTGAAGTCCTATATACTAAATACTAAATTAAACTTGAAATACTAGGTACTAAATATTAAATTATTAAACTTGAAATACTCAATGCTAACTATTAAATTAAACTTGAAATTCTAGATACTAAATATTAAATTAAACTTGAAGTCCTATATACTAAATACTAAATTAAACTTGAAATACTAGGTACTAAATATTAAATTATTAAACTTGAAATACTCAATGCTAACTATTAAATTAAACTTGCAATTCTAGATACTAAATATTAAATTAAACTTGAAGTCCTATATACTAAATACTAAATTAAACTTGAAGTACTAAACATTAAATAATAAATTAAACTTGAAGTCCTATGTACTAAATACTAAATTAATCTTGAAATACTAGATACTAAATATTAAGTCAAACTTGAAATATCAGATACTAAATACTAAATTAAACTTAAAGTACTAAATATTAAATATTAAATCAAACTCGAAATACTAAATAATAAATATAAATTAAACTTCAAATATACTTTCGAAGATGATTAAAAAAAACTTTTAAACGAACAGTTCACGAAGTTAGCACGAACACGACGTAACGAAAGGGAAAAAGTAAAAGTGATGGCCAACGAGTGTATCGACGTCGATCAAGCAAAGTAAAAGCGTCCGCTTTCTGCAACATTTTGATGCACCCCCGCAATCAACCACGTCCATCATATTAATTCGCTTAATAACAGTTTCACGTTGACTTTCAGGTTTAATGGCTGCCGAAGCGGTGGCCGCCATGCTTGCCGATGACCTGGCGACAAAAGCGTTGAACGACAGAACAGCCGACGCGATGATTTACAAAATGTACAAAGACCTTCCTGTTAATTAACAACCAGGAAAACTTTTCTGTGGATTTTTTTGCCGGACGCTTATTCTTTATGGTATCGTTGCTCTTTGTTTTAAGATTTGTTGATCTTTTTCGCTGAACAAAATGGCGGCGATGGATGATGATTTTGGAAATTGTTTTTGGTTTTTAATATTTTAATTACTGTGAGTATGCTGTGCATTTGATTTGGGTAATTAACAATTGATGCTTTGATTGAAATAATTATTTTTTAAATATTTTTATTATATTCTGAAAAGTAATTTTAATTAATTTAGTACAAGTGTATTTGAATATAATAACATAAGATTTTTCCATTTGAGATTTTTATAAGAATGGTGTTTAAAGATTGAAGTAATTAAAATTTTAAATATCTTCAACTAACACTCTAATTATGTACAACAATAGGAACTTACATATTAAAATAATTTGATAGAATAGGATATAAAATACAATTTTTATAACAATCAAAAATATTCCAGTATGTTTATATAGAAACTTTTCTTTTGCAGTAAAATATTTACTAGTGAATGTTTAAGGTTAGAATTCTGGGGACCTAAGGCGGGAAATTTGAATATAATATAAGCTCTATTAATTTATTAATGACTTGCATGATTCTATTCATATTTATTTATTCTGTTATATTTATCAACTAAGGAGAAAGAGTCATTAACTTATTAACTTGTTACTAGAATTATACTGAATTTATATTCTGTAGAATTTTATCATATATTGCTTGCGGCACACACATGTTTTACATTACATACGTATTATAAGTAGCCTCTATTTTTAACTAGTTTAATTTTTATAATTATTAAGAAATTATTTATGTACTCAATCGAAAACTTGCTCATATATGAACAGAAAGCAGAGTGCAAAATTTATTGTAAAAAGGTGCTTTATAGATTTAGAATAATATTTTTATTCTCCTGTTTGTGCATAAATGAAATGCATTATATGAAGATTCTTTATAATAATTTTGTGATACGGTTCTAAACGAATATGTGAAATCTACATATATGGCCGAAAATGATATTCATCAGAAATTCACAAATTTTTTAATTGATGCATTATAGAAAAGAGTTGTGAAGTAATTTCATATTACTATACACTCTAAACACAGATATACGTAAACTCTACATATATGGCCGAAAATGATATTTATCAGAAATTCACAAATTCTTGTGAATTTTTGCATTATAGAAAAGTGATGTGAAGTAATTTCATGTTACTATACGTTCTAAACACAGATATACGTAAAATCTACATATATGGCCGAAAATGATATTTATCAAAAATTCACAAATTTTTTAGTTGATGCATTATAGAAAAGTGATGTGAAGTAATTTCATGTTACTATACGTTCTAAACACACACATACGTAAAATCTACATATATGGCCGAAAATGATATTTATCAAGAAATCCCAAATTTTTGAATTGATGCATTATAGAAAAGTGATATGAAGTAATTTCATGTTACTATATACTCTAAACACACATATACATAAAATCTACATATATGGCCGAAAGTAATTTTTATAAAAATTCGCAAACTTTTTAATTATTGCATTATAGAAAAGTTATATGAAGTAATTTTATATTACTACACATTCCAAACACACCCATAAAATCTACATATATGGCCAATAACGATGTACATCAAAATTCGCATTATTTCAAAACAATATATTGCAAAACACATTCTACACGTAAAATATTGCGCAAAATTGTTCAAAGCCGTTTCAAATTATTTTTGCACACGCCCGACAAGAAGTCTGATTCATACGCCCTATTAAAGATGGTAAAATTGCATATGCTCGCGAATCGAAGCATTAAATGTACAAGTTTGATTGTGTCATACACGTAAATAATACGTAAACGCATGCACGGCCGATTTGTAAACGGGTTTGCAAACGTTACGTGCAGTTTGCCATAGCGGAACCAGTCAGAATCCGTCAGATTTTACATAATCGCATTTGGGAAATTCAACGTGTTACACCAACGATTTCCAACGCACTTGGTTGGGGAAAGTTAGCATCGATGATCGGACGTTGAATGCGACGAATAAATTTCGCGCTTCGAAAAAGTGAATTGACTTTTAATCGATTTAAGTTATCGAATCGATCGTACAAATTTTATTTACTGGACAATGATATATTAATTGCTCCACGATATTTTACGATGTTGTATTTTATAGTAGTTATAGTAATTATTCAGTTAGTAGTAGTAGTAAAGTAGTTACAGTAGTTAATGTAGTTTTATAAGAATATTATAATATTTTATGATTCTTGTTTATGACATATTTAATGTATTAATCAGATATGTAGTATGTTTATATAAGTAGTTGTAACATGTTATCCGTTGATTAACTTTGTGTATCATTTGTAGCCATGAAATAAATGAATATGTAATTGAGAGTTGATGTTATTTACATATTGTGTTTATGTAATGCATGTATATAATTATACTTGTATACTGTATTTATTGTGTATTATACATAATTATGCTCATACACTATGTTTACTTGATAATGTGTATAATTATAGTCGAGATACATATATTGTATTCACAACATTGTATTATGTAAAGTCGTGTTCATATGTTATACATATTAAACATCATAGAAAATAATATTCAGATACTTCAAATTATAATGATGAAAAAATTGAAAAAATTAATAATTAGATAATGGAACAATGGAACAGTTCAATAATTGAATGATTGAATAATTGAATAATGGAATAATTGAATAATTGAATAATTGAATAATTGAATAATTGAATAATTGAATAATTGAATAATTGAATAATTGAATAATTGAATAATTGAGAATAATTGAATATTGAATAATTGAATAATTGAATAATTGAATGATTGAATAATTGAATAATTGAATAATTGAATAATTGAATAACTGGATAATTGTACACTTGAATAATTGAATAATTGAAGAAGCTTGACAACTTGACAACCTGAGAACTTGAGAATTTGAACTTGACAACTTGAAACTTGAGAACTTGATAACTTGGAAACTTGATATCTTGGAAATTTGATAACTTGGAAACTTGATAACTTGGAAACTTGAGAACTTGGAAGCTTGATAACTTGGAAGCTTGATAACTTGGAAACTTGAGAACTTAGAAACTGGAGAATTTGGAAACTTGAAATCTTGGAAACTTGAGAACTTGGAAACTTGAGATCTTGGAAACTTGAGAGCTTGGAAACTTGAGACCTTGGAAACTTGATAACTTGGAAGCTTGATAACTTGGAAACTTGAGAACTTGGAAACTTGAGAATTTGGAAACTTGAGAACTTGGAAGCTTGATAACTTGGAAGCTTGATAACTTGGAAACTTGAGAACTTAGAAACTCGAGAATTTGGAAACTTGATATCTTGGAAACTTCAGAACTTTGAAACTTGATATCTTGGAAACTTGAGAATTTGGAAACTTGAGAACTTTGGAACTTGATATCTTGGAAACTTCAGAACTTTGAAACTTGAGAACTTGGAAACTTGAGAATTTGGAAACTTGAGAACTTTGGAACTTGATATCTTGGAAACTTCAGAACTTTGAAACTTGATATCTTGGAAACTTGAGAATTTGGAAACTTGAGAACTTGGAAACTTGAGAACTTGGTAACTTGAGAACTTGAAAACTTGAAAACTTGAAAAATTAAAAAATTGAAAACTTTAAAATGTATACCAAAAATGTTGATATTTCACTGACCCAAATTTATTTGACACTAATCCCTCATCACTGCACTTAATGCTCCCTTTAATCTTATCGTCTTATCCTCATATAAAATCAGTCCAATAGCTCTTTCTGTAATACGTGTTCTGATTACAACAGTAATAACACCGTTACATAATGTACAAGTCTAGCAAGACATAAACTTCATAAAATAAGATTCTAAGGAAGTCAATAAAATCAATGGTTATTTTTACAAAAACAAAAGAATTCGATTTCTGAAAGATACATTATCTTATAATTATAGGTCTTCAATTTAAAATGTAGTATTTTATACACAGCATGACTTGAAGGAAGACATTGATTATATATCCAATCACATATTCACTGCATCTGTAGGTATTTGCATTTGCGATTAAACATTATGTCATCGACGCAGGGAGAAAGTAAAAGTCTCCAAAATTTGTTCAATGACAATTTAAAGTAGTTTCCTTGAAATTGTTTAAACAAATCCTCGACTTAAAACAAACTGTTAACAACTTGTCTTCTGCAAACTTTTTGTAGTCAAAATTAAAATTTAAGCAACCTTCAGTAAAAAATGTAAAAAATGTTTTAAAAATTGTACAACATCTCACAAGAAGAAGATGCAGAATTAAATATTTCCTTGTCACGTGAAGGTATACTTAAGTTCATTATCTTAATCTTATATACGGTATTCAAGTATTTTTTGTGTCAAGTATTCTCTCCCATCAATTACAATCCCCTAATGACACCGCTTCGTTGAAACTTCTTGCCATTGACCAAGAATCTTGATGACGATCCTTCATATTATTAATCTAATAGCATCCTCGTACTCTCTGCAAATTTTCCCCGATGTTTCCTGTCTCGAGTCGCGGTTTCGAAATGGTGTAATCAAGTTTGACTTCGATGCACTTAATTGTGATATTTTTGTTACGTGAATGCATTTAGATCTGGGAAAATTTTGATGATTATGTCGAAAATTGAGATATGGGGATATTTACGAGATGATTTATGAGAATGTTTTATATTGGAAAACCTTGAAATCTAGGGATATTGGTACCTAGCACAATTTTATAACCTTTCATAACCTAAATGCTACAACTTCTTCTATTTCAAGTCCTTATTATACCTGGACTCCGCTAGCAATTCTAAATTACTATATTCTTGTAATATTATATTTCAAGGTCTATATCTAGATTTTCAGAAATATTATAATGCTATAATCCAGCAACCCTATATCCCTAGATCCTTATTAGCCCCAGATCCCTCTACTTCTCAGTCTTGACTAATCCTATATTACTGCAGTCCTATTAACCCTATTATTAACCCACATCGCTACTGCCACCAAATCCTTATATTCACATATCCTTCGAACCCTAGGTACCCATATCCCCAATTCCCATATCTCCAATTCTCAAATTCTCAACTTCCATATCCTCAATTCCCACATCTCCAACTTACACATCCCCAACTCCCACATCCCCAATTTCCACATCTCAAATTTCCACATGCCCAACTTCCATATTCCCAACTTCCACATCCCCAACTCCCACATCCCCAATTTCCACATGCCCAACTTCCATATCCCCAACTACCATATACCCAATTCCAACATCTCCAACTTGCACATCCCCAACTTCCACATCCCCAACTCCCACATCCCCAATTTCCACATGCCCAACTTCCATAAGCCCAACTCCCAAATCTCCAATTCCCAAATTTTCAACTTCCATGTCCTCAACTCCCACATCCCCAACTTCCACATCCCAACTCCCACATTCCCAATTTCCACATCCCCAATTTCCACATGCCCAACTTCCATATCCCCAACTTCCATATGCCCAACTTCCATAAGTCCAACTCCCAAATCCCCAACTCTCATATCTCCAATTCCCAAATTCTCAACTTCCATATCCTCAACTCCCACATCCCCAACTTCCACATCCCAACTCCCACATTCCCAATTTCCACATCCCCAATTTCCACATGCCCAACTTCCATATCCCCAACTTCCATATGCCCAACTTCCATATCCCCAACTCCCATATCCAACTTCCATATCCTCAACTTGCACATCCCCAACTTCCACATCCCCAACTCCCACATCCCCAATTCCCACATGCCCAACTTCCATATCCCCAACTCCCATATCTCCAACTCCCAAATCCCCAACTCCCACATCCCCAGGTCCCACATCTCCAACTCTCACATCCCCATACCCACATATCCACCCCACTCTAGGTGTGGTAGTAGTGCTAGTAGTAGTAGTAGTAGTAGTAGTAGTAGTAGTAGTACTAGTAGTAGTAGTAGTAGTAGTAGTAGTAGTAGTAGTAGTAGCAGTGTAGTAGTACTAGTAGTAGTAGTAGCAGTAGTAGTACTAGTAGTAGTAGTAGCAGTAGTAGTGTTAGTAGTAATAGTAGTAGTAGCAGTAGTAGTACTAGTAGTAGTAGTAGGAGTATCAGTGGCAGTACTAGTAGTAGTAGTAGTATTAGTAGTAATAGTAGTAGGAGCAGTCGTAGAACTAGTAGTAGTGGTAGTAGTAGTAGTAGCAGTAATAGTATTAGTAGTAATTGTAGTTGTAGCAGTAGTAGTACTAATAGTAGTAGTAGTAGTAGTAGTAGTAGTAATAGTAGCAGTAGTATCCTTATCAACCACCCCAACTAAAAAGAACCCCCAAAAAAGTCCAAAGTGACATTAGCACCAAAATTGCAGTACATATCAACTCAGTAGCACTCGTAGTACTAGTAACAGTAGTAGTAGCAGCAATAGTACTAGTAGTAGTAGTAGTGCCCTAATCAACCATCCTACCCAAAAAACACTCAAAAAAATCCAAAATGACATTGGCACCAAAATTGTATATATCCTATACATCAACTTATTTGCCTCGATTAGAGCATTCCTGACCTACCATTCTTCAAATTCGCATAAACAACAAAGAATAGCTCGATCGTACGTGGATGGCTGGTTACGGCCCTGACTGAGTTAAAAGGAGGCATTCTACCGTGATAAATTCACCGTTGCCCGCGGTGGGGGCAAATCCACGGTGCGGAGAAAGTGCTGTTAGTTTATATATACGCGGGTAACGCGGTCCATCGCGCGCATTTTCGATACCACTCTCGCTAATTGCGATATATCAGACTCGACACCGGCCATCTAACACAGGCAGCGACAGGATGAGGATGCTGATCGGGCTGTTGGTGATCGCCACCTGGACCGGGATCACTATTGCTGAACTGCGTGAGTAATTTTTTGAATTATTGTTGATTTTGTAGGGAAATTAATTTTAATTATTAATGTGTGTGTTAAATTAGTTGCTGTGTGTAATATGGTAGCTGATGAACATTTTATTTGATTTACGTTTGCATTTGAAAGATTATTAGGTTGTCACTTACTAGGTGGTTACTTACTAGGTGGCTACTTATTAGGTGGTTACTTATTAGGTGGTTACTTATTAGGTGATTACTTACTAGGTGGTTACTTACTAGGTGTTTTAGTCCTTCAATTTGAGATGAGTGTCTTTTATATGTAGGTATAATTACACATGTGATGTATGACATAGTGCAATATACATCGTGGCAATAAATAATAAAGAAATAATAATTTTAGAAGAATTCAGTAAACTTTTTATGTAAAACTTATCAAAGACTGCTCTATATGCAAAAATACCTTTGAGTGCAAGGATTTAATGTGAAAACTCACAATTTTTATTTGGTTTAGTATAAAAACTAACAAAATTGTTCTATGGTTTAAAACAAGATAATAGAATTTTTAAAGTTGATAGAATTTTTATTATGTTAAATATAAAAGCTGATGGAATTTTTATTTGGTTTAATATGAAAGCTGTTAGAATTTTCACTTTGTTTAAAATAAAGCTTAACAAACTTTACAGATGGTTTGATATGAAAAACAAAATAAATAATTTTTATGTGATTTAATATGAAAACATAACAAAACTTTTTTTAATATAAAAAATTAATGAAAGCTTCATATGGTTTATTTTAAAAAATTAGTGAAATTTTCATATGGTTCAATATAAAAAATGACTGAAACCTTCATATGTTTCAATATAAAAAATTACTGAAACCTTCATATGGTTTAATATAAAAAATTACTGAAAGTTTCATATGGTTTGATAAAAAAAAAATGAATGAAAGCTTCATATGGTTTAATATAAAAAATTACTGAAACCTTCATATGGTTTAATATAAAAAATGAAAGAAATCTTCATATGTTTCAATAAAAAAAAATGAAAGAAACCTTCATAAAAATTAACTAACAAAATTTCAATTCAATTTAACATGAAAATTAATGCAAAGTTTATAACACAGGTGAAATGGTTAAAGAAAGTAGTAAAAGTAGATAAAAACGAAATAAAATAGAGTGTAATAAACTGCAATTACTGAAGAAGTCTGAACGTGAGTAAATGTTACGACTTTCATGGTTGGTTTTATTGTTATGGTGAAATTTATTGTCTTGAATATTGATGAAGCCAGTGCAATTGTATTCGTGTATTAAAATAGAGGAAAAGAAAGTATAATGAAGTGATGTTTGTGACAAGATTTCACAGTCGATGAATCATTGATTTTAATGAAATGGTTTTGGATGGATTTAGGATGGTAATTAGATGATAGGTTATTTAATGATAGTCATGTTATTAGTGAAAATGGAGTATTTAGGGAGATATTTAATATTTCATTATTTGTAATTGGTGGAAATACTGAATTATTTAATTGTAAGGTGATGGATGTGTTAGTCGAGGTGGTTAAGTGATGCATTTTCTAATTCTTTCATCGCGAGTTCAAATCCCTCAGAAGCCAACTCTTTTTATTCTTCATTTTTTTCTTTTTTTTTTTATAAATATATTTATGTTCATACATTATGTATATATCTTCTCTTAATAGTTTCTTCTTTTCCTCTTTATCATAACAACTCAAATTACAATAATTGAAAACCTATCACTGTATTGTCTCAACTATCACAACTTAACCTTACAATTAAATAAAATAAGTCAGAACATAACAAATTAAAAAACAAATAAAGTGAAATAAAATACATTCCTATAAAGTGTAAACAGACCATAAAATGATGAACGGTATAATAACACGTTCGTGTCAGTTCTTTAAAACGAAGAAAACAGGGAACACGCGATGCACTTTATATTCGATGTAGGTTTGAAACGTGTCTTGCGCGAGGAAAACTTTAATGTCAACTAGTCGACGATGCTTTTACTTTAATCTGATGTACTAGTTTCAGAAACGACTATCCTAGGCGCGTAATTACACTGAAACCGCAAGTAGAAACGTTACAAGGACGGTATTTATGTAGATTAATTAATCAAAGATGAAACCGTGTCACGTTGTAAAAGCATGTGACACTTTTTTGTCGAATTTTAATTATTACGGTTACGGTTCGTCGTAACGGTTACGATGGCATCGTTATGGGTTGCGTGGTGAATCGTTGTTAGGTATATTGCCACGCGTTATATGGCCATGGGTTATATTGCAATATGTTGAGAGGATGTGAAGCTTTAAGGAATTTGGGATTTGGGGAATTTGGGGAAGGTGGGATTTGGGGAATTTGGGGAAGGTGGGATTTGGGCAATTAGGGATCTGGGGAATTTGGGATTTGGAGAGAGTGGAATTTGGGAAATTAGGGATCTGGGGAATTTGGAATTTGGAGAGAGTGGGATTTGGGAATTTGGGATTTGGAGAGAGTGGAATTTGGGGAATTTGGGATTTGGGGAGAGTGGAATTTGGGGAATTTGGGATTTGGAATTTGGGGAATTTGGGGAGAGTGGAATTTGGGAAACTAGGGATCTGGGGAATTTGGGATTTGGAGATTTGGGGAATTTGGGGAGAATGGAATTTGGGAAATTTGGGATCTGGGGAATTTGGGATTTGGAGAGAATGGAATTTGGGGAATTTTGGATTTGGATAGAGTGGGATTTAGGGAATTTGGGATTTGGAGAGAGTGGAATTTGTGGAATTTGGAATTTGGGGAATTTGGAATTTGTGGAGAGTAGAATTTGAGAAATTTGGAATCTGGAGAGTTTGAAATTTGGAGAATTTGGAATTTAGAAAACTTGGAATTTAGAGAATTTAAAAAATTGAGAACTATATTAATCCGTAAATTACCAACTTCAAAAATTTATATCTCCATAAATTTCATCTCATAAAACTTTGAAAGTTACGTAATTTCCCGTTATCAGCCAACACCTACGTCCCCATACATACATGTACACGTCACACAAAGTCTCACTTTCATTGCATACTTCATTAAAATTACCAATAAGATTAATCTTGAACACAAGGAAATTCGAAACTTGTGCAACTAGTAACTTTCTTCGCGTATAATTATATATTAAGCATGCAAACGTGAAAGGAATTCGAGAAACAAAACCTGCTACTTGCATCAATCGATACCCGTCCCCATGATTGATCACATTGACGTGGTAAAAACTCTCTTCGAATTGTTCGACACGCTCATTACGTCATATATCATACAAGGTTTCTTTAACAGGTGTTCACACGTGTCAAGTTTACACAGAACAGAATGAAACTTTCTTCAAATACTTGCAGAGTGTGTTTGAACATTTCTTCTGGAGATACATAATCTTGCAAGGCGTTTTGTCACGGTCAATGACTGTCGTTGACACTTACATTCTAAAGAAGACATTTGTTAATACTTTTAATTATGCAATAATGTAAAAATTAATTTATTATAATATTTATTTATTTTAATGACTTTTTTTCAATCTTATACATTTTTATTGTATTTTATTTAATTTTTTATTGATGTTATGTGTGGGCAGGTTATTGTGTCTTCATAGAACTGTAATATTGGAAACGGCAATATAACGTGAAACAAGTTTTTGAACTGCAAAGTAAAGGATACAGTGTATATATTAATAAGATCCTTATATTTTTATAAAAGTTGTATGTACTCTGTTAAAAAGACAGGTTATTGAATGTTCTTCTAAAAACCAGCTATATTGCAAACGGCCATATAACGAAAAGTAACGTTTAACCGGGTAAAAAGCATCAGAACATTACATTTTTTAAACAAGTTTATATATACTGTGTTAAGAAGATAGGTTACTGAATGTACTTTCAAAGACCGGTAATATTGAAAGTGGCCATATAATGAAAGACAATATTTAAGTCAACTACAAAACTGCTATAGTATATGTATCAACAGAAACGTTGCATTCGTACAATAGTCAAATGTACCACGTTCAAAAGACGGATAGTAACTTCAGAAATCGGCAATATGAAAAATGGCCATATATCAAATAGTAGTATTTCAGTCAACTACAAAAGTAATGCAATAAATTTATCTACAGAAACGTTGTATTCCTATAGAAATCAAATGTATCACATTAAAAAGACAAACAGCAAGCTTAGAAATCGGCAATATAAGGAGAGACCATATAACAAAAAGCAGTATTTCGGTCAAACCACATAAGTAATGCTATAAATTTATCTATAGGAACGTTGTATTCCAATAGAAATCAAATGTGTCACATTGAAAAGACAAACAGCAAGCTTAGAAGTCGGCAATATGAGAAGAGACCATATAACAAAAAGCAGTATTTCGGTCAACCACAAAAGTAATACAATAAATTTACCAACAGAAACGTTGTACTCCTACAAAAGTCAAATGTATTACATGGAAAAAGCCAACTGCATCACACAAATCGGCAATATAAGAAGAGACCATATAACAAAAAACAGTATTTCGGTCAACCACAAAAGTAATACAATAAATTTATCTACAGGAACATTGTACTTCTATAGAAATCAAATGTATCACATTGAAAAGACCTACAGCATCACAAAAATCGGCAATATAAGAAGAGACCATATAACAAAAAGCAGTATTTCGATCAAACTACAGAACTAACAATAAATACATCACCAGAAATGTTGTCTTCCTACAAAACTCAAACATATCACATCCAAAAGACCTACAGCACCACAAAAATCGGCAATATAAGTAGAGGCCATATAACAAAAAGCACTATTTCGGCCAATTAAACAGACGATCCATCATCGGTAACGTTACATTCCTGTAAAAGTCAACGCACCGTGTTGAAACGTCAAGTTAGTGAACGCCTAAGGCTGCGATGACTAAGCCGTCACGGTAGAGCGCGTTTTTGCGTTCCCGGCGTTCTCGAGGCCAGGCCTAAAATCGAAAGTGCGCGCGGTAGAAAGTGAAATTACGAGCCGAGCGGAGCTTTTTTTTTTTTTATTTCTTCGTCGACCATAAAGGCGAATCGCCGGCCGTGGACCGACGTAGCAGAAGATGGAAACGCACGTGCTACAACGCCGGGATAGAAAGGTTCGATCCACGCCGGTGATTGATAGATCGCCGGTAGCTAGAAATTGTTCAATGGCTAAGGCCAATTGATCATTCCACGAGATCCGCGGGACGATTATCGAGAAAGGAGTGCTTCACGATCGACCCGAATTTCTATCAGGATTGATGAAACGAGAGCTCTTTATTTGGTGAAACCGGTTAATGGCGGTGGGTTTTATTGGATACTGGAGGAGGAGAAGAGTGCGCTTTGGGAATATTTTGGGAATTTAAGGATTTGGGAAATTTGGGAAATTTGGGAAATTAGGAAATTTAGGGAATTTAAAGAATTTAGGGAAATTACGGAAATTAGGAAAATTAGGGAAATTAGGGAAATATGGGAAATCAGGGAAATCAGGGAAATCTGAGAATTCAAAAAATTTGGGATTTGTGGAGTATGGGATTTGGGGAGTTCGGGATTTGGGGAACTTGGGATTTGAGGAATTTTGGGATTTGGGGAATTTGGAATTTGGTGAATTTGGGATTTGGGGAATTTGGAATTTGGGAAGCGTGAGATTTGGGGAATTTGGAATTTGGGAAGCGTGAGATTTGGGGAATTTGGAATTTAGGAAATTTACAATTTAGGGAATTTGGAATTTAGGAAATTTACAATTTAGGGATTTTGGAATTTGGGGAGTTTGGATTTTGGGGAATTTGGGATCTGAGGAATTTGGAATTTGGGGAGTTTGAAATTCGAGAAGTTTGGGATTTGGGGAATTTGGAATTTGGTGAATTTGGGATTTGGGGAATTTGGAATTTGGGAAGCTTGAGATTTGGGGAATTTGGAATTTGGGAAGCTTAAGATTTGGGGAATTTGGAATTTAGGAAATTTAGAATTTAGGGATTTTGGAATTTGGGGAGTTTGGATTTTGGGGAATTTGGGATCTGAGGAATTTGGAATTTGGGGAATTTGGAAGTTGGAGAGTTTGAAATTTGAGAAGTTTGGGATTTGGGGAATTGAAAATTTGGGGAAATGGAGAAATTTGGGAAATTTGAGAAACGTGACAAATTTGGGAAATATGAGATTTTATATTTAATAAACAAGAAATTTTGCAAATTAAAAAATTGAAAACAAATATATTTGAAAATGAAAGAATTGACAGTAATGACATTCTAAAGCATCTATTAGAATAGCTACATTATCACAGTTGCAACATTTCCGTCTGCACATAATCAACAAAAATGGAGTGCATGTCGTTCTAATTATTTTCAACCCGTCAGAAAACCTGTTTGATCAGTGTCCCCATTAACACGATCCGCTCCTAATGCAATAGCTTTTACCTTTACAATGTTGAAAAACTCGATTTCTAAACTTAAAAGAACTTTCAAGGGTTAAAACATCTTATTTTTGTTTAATACTTTACGTCAATTCTATGTAATAACTTAAAAAATTGAAGAAGTATAAAAAAATTAAATTAAAATTAGTACCAGGACGCTACCGCTAGGTGGCTATAATATTTTTCTCCTTATTTTTGGTTTTAACACTTTTAGCAGGCTTAAATAATTTTTGTTTGAGTTCATTTAAGATTTTAGGACACTGTAGATTCGTTTAATTAGAACTAAAGTACTTTTTTTTATGAAAAAGACAGTTTTATTTTATGTAGGTTTCGCCGTTCACTGTAAGATGGCGCTGGGAGTACTGTTTACGCGGGATTTCATATAAATTCAAAATATTCGATTTCCTCTTTTGAGTTTATTAACTTTTATTACGTTTAAATACTAAATATTGTCAAGTGACCGAATTAACTACTTTCTAATAGTATAACCACTGTATAATAATACTGCTAATAATAATAATAATAATAATATTGTTAAAATGAAATAACTGTTCAAGTTAAAATATAAATACATTCATATGTGTATCTAATTTCATTTATACATAAAAAGATTTCTAAAAAATTTCAAACTTTTGAACTTAAAATTATTGTAATAATTAAGTAAATTATTAATATAATTCTCAACTCAAAATTATTAATATAATTCAATAAATTATTAATATAATTCTCAACTCAAAATTATTAACATAATTCAATAAATTGTTAATACAATTCTCAACTCAAAATTATTAATGTAATTCAGTAAATTGTTAATATAATTCTCAACTCAAAATTATTAATGTAATTCAATAAATTGTTAATATAATTCTCACTTTAAAATTATTAATGTAATTCAATAAATTGTTAATATAATTCTCAACTCAAAATTATTAATATAATTCAATAAATTGTTAATATAATTTCAAACTTAAAATTATCAACATAACATCATTGTTAAAAACTGCCTCTCTTTCACTAAATAAATAAATAAATATAATAAATGAAATACAACTCTGTTCCCCCCCAAAATATCAAACTTATCAACCAATACAAGTACCAACCAACTTATCAAGCTCACCAAACAATAATAACCTAAATAAATTAATTTGCATAGCATAAAGAATCACCTGCGTTTCGCACGATACTGGTAGCAACCTCATAAAACTGTGTCAATGTTCCTGTGACACGTTACCATAAAATTACACAATCGTTTCTCATTCGCAGCACCTGGTGTTCAGTCTTGTCCCCGCACCAACGACCTGGCACAATATGGCAGATGCGTGTTGGAACAATTAAAGGCGATCACCCCATATTTAGCCAATGGCATCCCATCCTTGAAGCTGCCCGCCTTGGATCCGTTGTTTCTCCCTTCGTTGACTGTCGACCGAAACCTGGAATCGTTGAAGATCAAAGCGAACATGACTAAAATACGAGTGTACGGTGGGACGAATTTCGTGATCGACGAATTGAAAGCGAATCCCCATGATCTTTCGGTTCAACTCAAGGTTTCGCTGCCGCATGTTCATGTGAACGGCGATTATGACGTGCAGGGGAGACTCTTGTTGCTGCCTTTGAATGGGGCTGGCAGTTTCAAGGGAAATTTCAGTGAGTATTTTTATTTCTGGGTGAGTGTGATTGGTTTGTGAATGTGTGACTGGTTAGTTTGCAAATTGTATTGCTAGTTTGGAGAATATGGGATTGTGTGTTAGGTCTGAGTGTGATGTTTGTGATGTGTGTTGAGAGATTTCATCTTGGGACACTTTGGAACGTTCTAGGATATTTAGGTCACCTTGGGACACTTTGGAACACCTTAGGACACTTAGGCTACTCAGATCACTTAGGCCACTTTGGGACACCTTAGGACATTTAGGTTACTCAGATCATTTAGGTCACTTTGGGACACCTTAGGACACTTAGGTCACTTTGGGACACTTAGGTCACTTTGGGACACTTAGATCACTTTGGGACACTTAGGTTACTTAGACCACTTAGGTTACTTTGGAACACTGTAGGACACTTAGGACACCTTGGGACATTTTAGGACACTTAGGTGTCGCTTTTGGGGGATTGAGGATCTGGGCATTTGGGAAATTAGGAGAAACGGAAATTTGGGGGTTGAGAATTTGGAATTTTGGGAAATTGGGAAAATAGGAATTTGGGGGTTCGAGAATTTGGAAATTTGAGAAATTGGGAAAATGGAAATTTGGGAGTTTGAAAAATTGCAAATCTGGGAAATTGGGAAAATGGAAATTTAAGGGTTTGAGAATTTGGAAATTTGGAAAATTGGGAAGATGGAAATTTGGGGGTTTGAGAATTTGGAAATTTGAAAAATTGGGAAAATGGAAATTTGGGAGTTTGAAAAATTGCAAATCTGGGAAATTGGGAAAATGGAAATTTAAGGGTTTGAGAATTTGGAAATTTGGAAAATTGGGAAGATGGAAATTTGGGGGTTGAGAATTTAGAAATTTGGAAAATTGGAAAAATGGGAATTTGGAGGTTTGAGAAATTCGAAATTTGGAAATATGGTTATATAGGAAATTGAAAACTTGGGAACTTGGAAAATATAGAAATTTGGAAAATTACTTTGGAACACTGTAGGACACATAGGTCACCTTGGGACATTCTAGGACACTTAGGTGTCACTTTAGGACACTTAGGTCACTTGAGGAGACTTAGATCACTTTGGGACACTTATAACACCTTGGGACACTCTAGGACACTTAGACTACCTTAGAACACTTTGGACCACTTAGGTCACATTAGGACACTCTGATCCACTGCAATTTTATTATGTTAAAAATGTTTGATGTTAAATATTTGTAGTGTGTAATACAGAGATTCTACTGTACTTTTGAGCTAGATATTTTTTATATTGAAATGAACTTTTCATAATAAGCTACTCATATGTTGCAGCAAACACAGAGGCGTTGGTAAATGCTCAAGGTAAAGAGGTGACCGACAAAAATGGCGTCCAAAGGATCGACATCGATAAACTAGTAACAAAAATCCGCGTTGGTGATGGAAATATCAAGTTGAAAGCTCCTCCATCTCACAGTTTAGCTGGTAAATAATGTTCCTAAAATTGACAATGTTGATAATATGAACAAAGTTGATAACATTGACTGCTTTATATAACATTTCAATTTTATCCTTACAGCCGACGCAGCAGCCACCTTCTTCAACTCAAATCCCCGTCTCGTTCTGGACATCGCGAGCCCCATAATCGAGGACACAGCAGCAACTGTGAGCAGAGCCTTAGCTGCCAGAGCACTGGGTGTGCTCACCAAAGACGAATTACTCCCCTAGTCCCTAATTATTTAGACCACCCATCAAGCAACTGCTTCTAAGACTACAAAACAACGAGCTTACGTTGACTGAAACGAGCGAGTTTTGTTGATCGTGATACATCGTCGAGTACAACTTAATACGATCGATTAACGTACCGATGCCAACCCACGAGTTGGTCAAAGCAAAAAAAGCACCGTGTCTTCCACCAAAATATGCGAACAAGTACTGCTTGCAGGCTTGATACGATCGTTGTACCGATGTCAACCCACGAGTTGGTCAAAGTAAAAAAAGCACCGTGTCTTCCATTTCGGCAAATAAGAATAACAACTGCAATCTCACTCACTCTCGAGACGTTGCCGACTGTCATTTGGAGGTTAGAAAGCTTTGGAACGAGATTCGAAGTTTTGAGATCGTTTCGAAATTTGGAGCTTTAGTTTCAGAAATTTTAAATATTCGCGCTTCGGAATTTGGAAGATCGAAAGTTAAGAAGGTTGAATGATTTTGGAATGATCGAAATGTGCAGAGGTTAGTACTTTCAAAAACTGGAATTCAGGAAGGGACTTAAAGTTGAAACTTTGGGTGATTCGAACTTTGGAAAGTGGGGACTGGAAGGTTAGAATTTTGCGAGGTTGGGACTTTGAAGGTTGGAACATAGGGAAGGTTGGACTTTGGAAAGTTGGAGCAGTGGAAGGTTGGAACTTTGAAAGATCGAACCTTCGGATGATTCAAACTTTAGAAGACTACTTTGGACGGTTGAAACATTGCATGCTGGGACTTTGGAAGGACAGAACTTTGGAAAGTCGAAACTTTGCAAGGTTGGATCCCTGAAAGGGACTATCAAAAGGTACTTTAGAAGGTTGGAACCTTGCGAGGTAACTTTGGAAGATCAACTTTGGAACGTAAGAACTTTGGAAGGTTGGAACTTGAGAAGAATTGTGCGACCGCTCGAGACGATACCATCGAAAATACGTGTGTCGTCCATTTTCTATTCGAACCAATCGTAGCTCTTCTAACGCCAGCCTCTCACGCGCCAACTCGTGGGTTGACATCGGTAGAATCTCGATTAATTGTTACACAATTAATCGCGCAGTAATTTAAGTTTAGTTGTAAACAAATTACATCACGTTACTGTTATTGTTACTTTCTAGCACTTTGTTTAACATTTAACAATAAAATGACGATCGAACGATCTACTAAACAATTGTGTTTTATTAAAAATTTTTAGTTAAAAACTTTATACAAAAAATTGATAATATTAAACTTTCATCGTTAAATAAATTTTACATAAAAAATTAGTCACACAGGGAGAAATAATAGAAAACAACAAAATTTCTTTTAAAAAAAGAATCAACAATGTTGTGAAAAATTATATTTAATTGATACAAGTTTTTGAATGGTATCACATATTGAACCAAAACCACATTGGAATCAGTAATAAAATATAATGTACACTTTGAACAATCAGTAGAATACTGTTCGGAGATGTTTATTTTTTATAAAATTTATTTAACCGTCGGGAAATAATTCTTTGTACGTGAAAGATTTGGTGATCTTGTTGGCGACGTTCGTGAAAAGTTCTGCTAAGGATGTCTCCAGAACTGGTGTTAGTTCATCCACTACGAGGGCGTTGTTGTTGTTCAACAATTCGTGGCTGGCTGCAGCTGTTTAAAAACAGAAATAAAGTTATAAATGATTTTTACGGTTTATTAGTTGTTGTGTGGTTGCGTGGTCTTTTATGGGACGGTTACTTATCGAACGTCTGTTTTTCGTTTCGAATCTTCTAATATTTAAATCCTCAAATCCACAAATTTCAAATTCTCAAATTCTCAAGTTTCCAAATTCTCAAATTTCCAAGCTCTTAAATTTCCAGGCACTCAAATTTCCAAATTCTCAAATTTCCAAGCTCTCAAATTTCCAAGCACTCACATTTCCAAGCACTCAAGTTTCCAAATTCTCGAATTTCCAAGCTCTCAAATTTCCAGGCACTCAAATCTCCAATTTCTCAAATTTCCAAGCTCTCAAATTTCCAAGCACTCAAATTTTCAAATTTCTAAATTCCCAAATTCTCAAATTTCCAAATTTCTAAATTTCTAAACTTCTAAATTCTCAAATTTTTAAATTTTCAAATTTTCAAATTTTCAAATTTTCAAATTTTCAAATTTCCAAATTTCTAAATTCCCAAATTCTCAAATATCCAAATCCTCAAACACCCAAATTTTCAAATTACTGAAGACTCAAGTCCCCTAATTCTCAAAATCCCCAAATTCTTAAATCCCCAAATTCTCAAATCCCCAAATTCTCAAATCCCCAAATTCTCAAAATCCCCAAATTCTCTAATTCCAAAATCCTCAAACCCCAAATCCCCAAAATCCCCAACACCCAAAAATAACCCCAGCAAATAATCCTTCAAACAACATAACAAACGTTAATAAAAAACATCAACATCACTTACCAAGAACCGTATCACCACCAAATAAGTTACTAAAGTGTAAATTAGCGTTTCCAATTCTAATTTTAATCTTCATCCTCTCGAAGTTCAGGTAAACGTCATTGTCTCGGAACACTTTGTTTGCTTTCAGAACAACGTCAGAGTCGTAGTCATCTTAAATACAAAAAGGAGCTCGTTGATTTAATGATGTTGACTCAGAAGTTTATTTTCATTTCTATGTAATCGATATGTGTGAGTGGAAAAAAATTCTATTTATGTTCGGTGAATCATTACCTTTTTTCAAATATTTCTTTTTCGACGTTGTACGTCGGTAACGAGTTGTGTAATCATGGAATAAAATCAGATAAAAAGAAGATGGAGTATTTTACATGTATCGTAGTTTGTGGAAAAAGTGTATTAATTAATTGCATGTGCTTAACACTGTTATGTAGACTGTATGTATGTATACATTCACAAATATTTATAAATATTCTGTGTTAGAATATTATACTAGTATACTGGTATACATACATACATATGCACACACATGTGACACATACATATGTGTATATTACACAGAAGGTTAACATATGTGTATATTACACAGGAGGTGTATAACATATGTGTATATTACACAGAAGGTGTATAACATATGTGAATATTACACAGAAGGTGTATAACATATGTGTATATTACACAGAAGGATAACATATGTGTGTATTACACAGAAGGTGTATAACATATGTGTATATTACACAGAAGGTGTATAACATATGTGTATATTACACAGAAGGTTAACATATGTGTATATTACACAGAAGGTGTATAACATATGTGAATATTACACAGAAGGTTAACATATGTGTATATTACACAGGAGGTGTATAACATATGTGTATATTACACAGAAGGTGTATAACATATGTGTATATTACACAGAAGGTGTATAACATATGTGTATACATATACATATATATGTGTGTATGTGTGCATGTGTGTATATTAGACACATATGTGTACATTACACAGTAAGAAGTACAACATATGTGTATAGAATATAGTACATATAGATATATATGTGTGTGTGTGTGTGTGTATACATATACACATATGTTATGCATCTTACTATGTAATATACACATATGTGTCACATTAAGTACAATTACTATTATATCCCATTTTAACATTACTATATAGTAATATACTATACTAAAAGAAATTGTAGTTCCACTAATTGTTTTATTATCTAACCAGTTTTATTAACTGCAGATTAAATATTAAATGTAAACTAACTATTAAGTATCTTAAATCTTACCATTCAACTATTGAATATAACATTCCCTAAAGTTTTCTAAAAACAATGATTATGTCTTGCAATTATTGAGGTTGAAAAGGTCATAGTAAGATTCGATGAAATTTTACTGTGACGTCGTGTTAAATAAAAAAGCGTTGAAGAGTTATTGAAAATAGCTTACCAAAGTGTCCGGTGAGGTCTCCCTCCCCTGCGAGGTGGAGCAAGAGCACCCTTGCATCGATTTGATACTTTCCTTGAAAATTCAGTCTGTCGAACGACACCTTAAAGGTGAACTTCACGTTCTCCACGTCTGCCTTCAAGTCTCTCACTTTGAATTTTGATGGTCCTGATACCTACATTCGAAATGACAGAGGAAGTTTGTCAAGTAAAGTTCAAGGTCATTAAGTTGATCTTCGATTGATCTTCAAACGATCTTCAAATGATTTTCGATTAATTATTTCTAATTTGTACTGTTGCACTATGTACACTAATTATAGAATCCTGTGTTATACAAGACACTCTGTGTTATATTGCAACATTGCAATAAATGTACCTCTACTATTTCATCCATTAAAATTTGATGGATATTGAATTTAATGAAAGTCATTTGAATTAATTAATTATAGTTAAAATAAATGAAACTTTGATTACAGTAATTAGTTCACCAAGTGAAATTACAAGGAGTCATTCTTGCACTCCATGGCAATATAACGAGAGGTCCATGTACAAATAAATGAAACTAGCACCTTGATGTATGTTGAAATTGGAAAGTTAGAAATTGGCAGAACTAATTAATTTACCTTCAAGTCAGTTAAATTAACGTCGAGTCTTGCACCAACTGGTCCCCTGGTTAAGCGAATTTCCTTTAATAAGAGTGGCTCTATAGGAGGAGCTTCTAATTCTGGGATTCCTGAGGATAATTTTTCACGAAGCTCCTCTATAGTGTTCGCGATGCATGCGTTGATGTCTGGTTCGCTCTTCTTGCATGTTTTTATGTATGGTGCTGTAAGATGAGTTTTAATATTGTCATTAGGTGAAAAATTATAATAGTTCTTTTATAGGGGAGGGATTTTTTTAGGATGGGAATTTTTTAATAAAAATTTTGATAGGTAATTCGAATTTGAGACTTTGGAAATTTGGGAAAGGGGGGTTTGAAAATTTGGGGAGATGGAAATTTGGGAGTTTGAGAATTTGGAAATTTGGGAAATTTAGAAGGTGGGAATTTGGGGGTTTGAGAATTTAGAAATTTAGGAAATTTAGAAGGTGGGAATTTGGGGGTTTGAGAATTTGGAAATTTGAGAAATTGGGAAAATGGAAATTTGGGCGTTTGAGAATTTGAAAATTTGGGAAATTGGGAAAATGGAAATTTGGGAGTTTGAGAACTTGGAAATTTGGGAAACTTGTAAGGTGGGAATTGGGGGGTTTGAGAATTTAGAAATTTGAGAAATTGGGAAAATGAAAATTTAGGGGTATGAGAATTTGGAAATTTGGGAAATTGGGAAAATGGAAATTTGGGCGTTTGAGAATTTGGAAATTTGAGAAATTGGGAAAATGGAAATTTGGGGTTTTGAGAATTTGGAAATTTGGGAATTTGGGGGATTGAGAAATTGGAAATTTATGAACTCGAAAGATTTGAGAATTTGAAAATTAAAAAATTAGAAAAATTTGATATTGTGCAAAATTTCATTAATTGAAAATTTCCTAGTTTGACAACTTACTAATTGAACGTACAAAAAGGAAATTCTAAGATAAAGAAAATAAAAAGATATTTGAAAGTCACTAAACGTCCAAGTAAGTATTGATCAACGGTTCACCAGATGTGTGGAAAGATATTAAAACATGGTAAAGTATTCGCGATCTTGATTTTGTATTCGAACGAGTTCAAGGCCGTGAGTGCAGTGGCGCTTTTAAAACCGAAAGCGGCGTACAACGAATTTTGCAATCGACTGGTTAAAATGTATGTGGCACGTTTTTGCCTTCCCTGCAGCACACTTGCTGAACTGGAATTTCGTAATCGATGTTTAATGTCAACGTCTTCTACGACTGATTAAGTCTTGCGACTTTTATTTTTACTTTACTTGGGCATTGGTGAATCTAACAAAAATCTTAACAAAAAATGCCAGCAAAAATCCTAACTAAAAATGTTAGCAAAAAACGTTAACTAAAAATGTTAGCAAAAAATGTTAATTAAAAATGTTAGCAAAAAATATTAATTAAAAATGTTAGCAAAAAATGTTAATTAAAAATGTTAACAAAAAATGTTAATAAAAAATATTAACAAAAAATGTTGATAAAAACTGTTAATAAAAACTGTTAATAAAAAATGTTAATGAAAAATGTTAACTAAAAATGTTAACAAAAAATATTAATAAGAAATGTTAACAAAAAATGATAATAAAAAATGTTAACAAAAAATGCTAACCAAAATCCTTAAAGAAATTCTAACAAAAAATGCTAACAAAAATCCTAATAAAAATCATAACACAAATCTTAACAAAAATGCTAACAAAAACGTTAATAAAAATGTTAACAAAAAGTGCTAACAATAAATGTTAACAAAAACACTCTTTTATTATCAAACATTTTTTTAAGATCTACTACAAAGTACATTAACTTGACAAAATTTTATAAATTGTATCTATTAATTCATTTTTAAAAATGATTAAAATTAAATTATTTTTATACATTGTTGTTTATAAATTATTTTCTATAAATTGTTGTTTATAAATTGTTTTTTATTCATTGTTTTTTATAAATCGTTTTTTATAAATTGTTTTTTATAAATTATTTTTTATAAATTGTTTTTTATACATTGTTTTTTATATATTGTTTTTTATAAATTGTTTTTTATATATTGTTTTTTATAAATTATTTTTTATAAATTGTTTTTATAAATTGTTTTTTATAAATCGTTTAGTATAAATTGTTTTGTATAAATTGTTTTTTATATATAAAGTTAGTAAAAATGAATTAGTAAAGATACTCACGTATAGCAGCAAAGACTGCAGAGAACAGAGTCGCCGTGAAGCTGCAAAAGAAGAGAAAAGAACCGCGTGAAAATATTAATTTCTGCAATTTTTATTCTCAACAAACAAATCCATCAAACTAGAGATTTCATCATAATTGTACACAACTATACAAGCGATTTCTGCTAACTTACAAACGTATGTTTGTAAAACTCTTTAAACGAATAGTGCCAAGGCTGAAAACATTGGAAACTGTGATAAATCCATCTTCCACTTTTACATAATATGAGATGCAACTCAATTGCAGTAATTTATCATCAATCAACATTTTTTTTCAGGACGTAAGAACCTTGCAACAGAGGAAACTATCTTTTTTTTTTTTTTTATTAAACAGGTGCTTTATTTTTCTTCCTTGTTTTAGATAATGATTGTGATGTATGGGTTTATTGAGTAATATTCTAATTTTTAAGTATGAGTTTTGGATTGTTTTACTGTTGTTTGGTTGTTAGGTAATTAATTAGTCATTTCTCTTTTTTTGAAATTTAATTAATTGTTGGTTATTTGTTTGTTTTTTGGGGGAAGTTGAACTCTGTAACTGTGTTTGTGTTTTATCTTCAAATTGAATACTCAATTCCCCAAATTTTGGATTTTGGATTTCCAAATTTTTCAGATCTTAAATTTACAAATTTCTAAACTTACAAATTTTGTGATCTTCAAATCTTCTTTTCAAACTTCTAAATTCCCCAAATTCCACGTTTCCCAAATTCCACTCCCCCCAAGTTCCAAATTTTCCAAATCCCAAATTCTCCAAATTCCACTTTTCCCAAATCCCAAATTCCCCAAATCCCAAATTCCCCAAATCCCAAATTCCCCAAATTCCAAATTCCCCAAATCCCAAATTCCCCAAATTCCACTTTTCCCAAATTCCAAATTCCCCAAATTCCACTTTTTCCAAATTCCACTCTCCCCAAATTCCAAATTTTTCAAATCCCAAATTCCCCAAATTCCACATTCCCCAAGTTTCCCAATTCCCAAATTCCCTAGATCCCATATTCCCCAGATCCCAAATTCCCCAAATCTCAATTTCCCGAAATTCCACCTTCCCCAAATTCCAAATTTCCCAATTCCCAAATTCCCTAGATCCCATATTCCCCAGATCCCAAATTCCCCAAATCTCAATTTCCCGAATTTCTAAATTTCCCAAATTCCAAATTTCCCAATTCCCAAATTCCCCAGATCCCATATTCCCCAGATCCCAAATTTCTCAAATCTCAATTTCCCAAATTTCTCAATTCCCAAAATTCTAAACCCCCAAATTTCCAAATCCCCAAATTCCTAAATTCCCCAAATTTCAAATTCCTAAATTCCCCAAATCTCAAATATCCAAACCCTTCAATCCCCCAATTCTCAAATATCAAATTTCCTACAAATATTATTTAATTATAAAGTTAAAGCAATTCGATTGTATAAAACATATGTGTTTGTACCCACATTCGAAAAAGAAGTACAGCCACGAACCATAGTATTGCATCATAGTTGCATTACCAAACCGCATGTATACCTGCGGTCTATGAAACTCCGCAACTTCCGGGTTTTGCAGCGTAGATTATCTTCCATACCACTTTTAATTTTAATCCTAACTAATATATTTTAATTAATTTTAATCCTTTAATTTAATTTTAATTTTAATCCTAACTTAAATTTAATTAACACCTCACTCCTTTGCTTACTTGTTGTTAAATAATAACATTTTCACACGTGTTCGATTTTCCTAATTAATCATTCAGTCATACAAGTTTTTTTAAATGCATCGTTAAAGGAATCATAAGTAGTAATATAACATCAATGTTAATCGACATTCATTCAAGTAAATCAATTTTTTTTGTACTTCTTCAACATTCGAAACAAATTTGATAATTCAACATGTTGTTTCAATTAACATATCAGGTTTTACGAACGAGTTTTAATTTCCTTCTAGGAAGAATCATTAAGTGAATTATGCTAAATATTTAAACATTTCAATGTTAATTAAAAATGTTTAAGTAGCACTACTTCCATTTCTTCAACTAAACCGTCAAAATAGAAATTAAACACGGAGGAACACACTTCACTATCAAATTTTATTTTTCGTTCAAACAGAATCCTGAAGAGACTGATCAATCTCGAACCTAACCTAAACTTCATCAAAAGCAAACTCGAAAGCCTTTCTTAGTCTTTCCAATTAAACAAGAATCACAATCTGCAAATAGAAAAATAGCTTCAAAAAGTTAGACAAACTTTGCAGCCAACAAAATGGCAGAGTCACAACCTGTCAATAAAAAATTTCAAAATTAACTTCAAAAAAAAATCTGTAAACTTTGCGACCAACAAAACTTTAGTAACTTCACAAATTTATCAAACTTTGCACCCAAAAAATTCTAGAGTCAATTTGCCAATAGAGAATTTCAAAATTAACTTCAAAAAAAAATCTGTAAACTTTGCGACCAACAAAATTTTAGTAACTTCAAAAATTTATAAAACTTTGCACCCAAAAAATTCCAGAATCAATCTGCCAATAGAAAATTTCAAAATTAACTTCAAAAAAAAATCTGTAAACTTTGCGATCAACAAAACTTTAGTAACTTCAAAAATTTATAAAACTTTGCACCCAAAAAATTCCAGAATCAATCTGCCAATAGAAAATTTCAAAATTAACTTCAAAAAAAAATCTGTAAACTTTGCGACCAACAAAACTTTAGTAACTTCACAAATTTATCAAACTTTGCACCCAAAAAATTCTAGAGTCAATTTGCCAATAGAGAATTTCAAAATTAACTTCAAAAAAAAATCTGTAAACTTTGCGACCAACAAAACTTCACATCTGCAGAGACGTCCAATATCCAAAATATCTCCAAACTTCCTCAAAAATATTCCAAAACCACCAGCAAAACTCCGAACGCAAAGGGTTAACGCAGTAAGCCCTTAACACGGTAAAAGATAAAAAAGTAAAAACTGAAAAAAGAAGGTAAGAAAGAAAGGTAATCGATCTCGTACCAAACGCGAGCAAGAAGAGCGCACATCGCGGCAGGTCAGCAGGTACTTGGCGACTAGTCAATCGCACCACGGGGATGATATGTAAAAGTTGCGATCCCCGAACGAACAGCACAGGGATTGCCTTATCGTGTTAGGCATGTTGATTGCCTCGTGCTACTTGTCGGTCATTGGTCCAGCACTGGATCGCCGATACTTGCTGAAGTTGACCACTGGAGAACGGTGTTGACTGTGGATCGATTTCGAATTCACTTTCCGCCACTCTTTATCCACCTTTCTTCGCCATTTTGCGACTCGAGATGCACGTTGGAATCGGATGTCGAAATCGTGCGGAGACTAGTTTTGCAGGTTTGGGATGGGTGGACTTTTGGGATTGACGGTTTGGGTTTGGGGATTTGGGGAGGGAAGGGTTTAGGGATTTGGGGGGGGAAGGGTTTAGGGATTTGGGGAGGGAAGGGTTTAGGGATTTGGGAAGGTAAGGGTTTAGGGATTTGGGAAGGTAAGGGTTTAGGGATATGGGAAGGTAAGGGTTTAGGGACTTTGGGAAGGTAAGGGTTTAGGGATATGGGAAGCTAAGGGTTTAGGGACTTTGGAAAGGTAAGAGTTTAGGGATATGGGAAGGTAAGGGTTTAGGGATATGGGAAGGTAAGGGTTTAGGGATATGGGAAGGTCAGGGTTTAGGGATTTGGGAAGGTTTGTAGTTAGACACTTGGGAAAGTAAGGGTTTAGGGATTTGGGAAGGTTTAGGTTTAGGGATTTGACAGGTTTTGGGTTTAGGGATTTGGGAAAGTGAGGATTTAGGGATTTGACAAGTGTTGGGTTTAGGGACTTGGCAAATTTTAGCAAGTTTTGGATTTAGGGATTTGGCAAGTTTTGAGTTTAGGAACTTGGAAAGGCTTGGGTTTAGGGATTTGCCAGGTTTTGGGTTCAGGAATTTGGGAAGGGTTGATTTAGGGATTTGCCAGGTTCTGGATTTAGGAATTTGAAAAGAATTGGATTTAGGGATTTAGAAAGTTTTCAATCTAGGGATTTGGCAAGTTTTGCTTTTAAGGACTTGGGAAGGTTTGGATTTAGAAGATTGGCAAATTTTGGCAAGCTCTAGGTTTAGGGATTTGACAAGTACTAGATTTAGGGATTTGGCAAGTTTTGGAGCTACGAATTTTGCAAGCTTTGGATTTGGGAATTTTACAAATTGGGGACTTGAGAACATAAGAACTTATGAACTTGAGAACTTGAGAACTTGGGAACTTGAGAACTTGGAAACTTGAGAGCTTGGAAACTTGATATCTTGGAAACTTGAGAGCTTGGGAACTTGAGAGCTTGGAAAGTTGAGAGCTTGGAAACTTGATATCTTGGAAATTTGAGAGCTTGGGAACTTAGAAGCTTGGGAACTTAGGAGCTTGGAAACTTGATATCTTGGAAATTTGATATCTTGGAAACTTGAGAGCTTGGGAACTTGAGAGCTTGGAAACTTGAGAGCTTGGAAACTTGAAGTCTTGGAAATTTAATATCTTGGAATCTTGAAAGCTTGGGAACTTGAAAGGAAACTTGAGAGTTTGGAAACTTGAGAGCTTGGAAACTTGAGAACTTGGAAACTTAATATCTTGGAAATTTATTATCTTGGAAACTTGATATCTTGGAAACTTGATATCTTGGAAACTTGATATCTTGGAAACTTGATATCTTGGAAACTTGATATTTTGGAAATTTGAGAGCTTGGGAACTTAGAAGCTTGGGAACTTAGGAGCTTGGAAACTTAATATCTAGGAAACTTGATATCTTGGAAACTTGAGAGATTGGAAACTTGAGAGCTTGGGAACTT